GTTATGGCTTTTCAACCTCTGCCATATCGTGGATTCTGACCTCAGAGGGTTTTCTTTAATGGAAGCTTCTCTAATGTCAAACATGTAAAGTGTGGTGTACCGCAAGGCAGCTCTCTAGGCCCTCTACTCTTTTCTATTTTTACCAATGACCTGCCACTGGCATTAAACAAAGCATGTGTGTCCATGGATGCTGATGATTCAACCATATATCCATCAGCAACCACAGCTAATGAAGTCACTGAAACCCTTAATAAAGAGTTGCAGTCTGTTTTGGAATGGGTGGCCAGTAACAAACTGGTCCAGAACATCTCTAAATCTAAGAGCATTGTATTTGGTACAAATCATTCCCTAAGTTCTAGACCTCAGCTGAATCTGGTAATGAATGGTGTGGCTGTTAAACAAGTTGAGTAGACTAAATTACTTGGCGTTACCTTAGATTGTAAACTGTCATGGTCAAAACACATAGATTCAATGGCTGTAAAGACGCCTCTCCCCCATGTGACCTACTTGTTGTGTGTATGTACTGTAGGGCTGACCCCGTTTAATCGACTGGGCGATTGTTTGGTCGATAGGCTGTTGGTCGACCAAGATTTCTTTAGTCGAGCAGTAGCAAAAATATACAGTATCTATCTACACTACCGGTCGAAAGTTTTAGAAGACCTACTCATTCAAGGGTTTTTCTTTATTCATTTTTTAAAACTATTTTCTACATTGTATAATAATAGTGAAGACATCAAATCTATGAAATAATACATATGGAATCATGTAGTAACCAAAAAAGTGTTAAACTAATCAAAATATATTTTATATTTGAGATTCTTCAAATAGCCACCGTTTGCCTTGATGACAGCTTTGTACACACTTGGCATTCTCTCAACCAGCTTCATGAGATAGTCACCTGGAATGCATTTCAATTAACAGGTGTGCCTTCTTAAAAGTTAATTTGTGGAATTTCTTTCCGTTTGTTTGAGCCAATCAGTTGTGTTGTGACAAGGTTTATATACAGAAGATAGCCCTATTTGGTGAAAGACCAAGTCCATATTATGGCAAGAACAGCTCAAATAAGCAAAGAGAAACGACAGTCCATCATTACTTTAAGAAATGAAGGTCAGTCAATACGGAACATTTCAAGTACTTTGAATGTTTCTTCAAGTGCAGTCGCAAAAACCATCAAGCGCTATGATGAAACTGGCTCTCATGAGGACCGCCACAGGAAAGGAAGACCCAGAGTTACCTCTGCTGCAGAGGATACGTTCATTATAGTTACCAGCCTCAGAAAATGCAGGCCAAATAAGTTCTTCAGAGTTCAAGTAACAGACACATCTCAACATCAACTGTTAAGAGGAGACTGTTTGAATCAGGCCTTCATGGTCGAATTGCTGCAAAGAAACCACTACTAAAGGACACCAATAAGAAGAAGATACTTGCTTGGGCCAAGAAACACGAGCAACGGACATTAGACCAGTGGAAATGTGTCCTTTGGAGATTTTTCATTCCAACCGCCGTGTCTTTGTGATATGCGGTGTGGGTGAACGGATGATCTCTGCATGTGTATTTCCCACCGTAAAGCATGGAGGAGGAGGTGTTATGGTTTGGGGGTGCTTTGCTGGTGACACTGTCTGTGATTTATTTAGAATTCAAGGCACACTTAACCAGCATGGCTACCACAGCATTCTGCAGCGATACGCCATCCCATCTGGTTTGGGCTTAGTGGGACTATCATTTGTTTTTCAACAGGACAATGACCCAACACACCTCCAGGCTGTGTAAGGGCTATTTGACCAAGAAGGAGAGTGATGGAGTGCTGCATCAGATGACCTGGCCTCCACAATCCCCCGACCACAACCAAATTGAGATGGTTTGGGATGAGTCGGACCGCAGAGTGAAGGAAAAGAAGCCAACAAGTGCTCAGCATATGTGGGAACTCCTTCAAGACTGTTGGAAAAGCATTCCAGGTTAAGCTAGTTGAGAGAATGCCAAGAGTGTGCAAAGCTGTCATCAAGGAAAAGGGTGGCTATTTGATGAATCTCAAATATAATATATATTTTCATTTGTTTAACACTTTCTTGGTTACTACATGATTCCATATGTGTTATTTCATAGTTTGATATCTTCACTATTATTCTACAATGTAGAAAATAGTAAAAATAAAGAAAAACCCTTGAATGAGTAGGTGTTCTAAAACTTTTGACCGGTAGTGTATGTAGATTACAAGGTTAGCTGACTTTCACTCCAGCATTGTAGACCATTTATCCCCTCTTGCTTTAGCTCATCTCAAAATAACAGAGAAATGCTGTGAAAACATTTAAGAATGTTTGCAGGAAGCTGGTTTTCTCACCAGTGCTTATTTGGTTGACATTTCTAGTCCGGACGCACTGTTGCTGCTACGGCACTAATCTGGTGAGCACCGTTGGAGCTCCGCCCCAAGCAAGGCATGTGATTGGTTTGACGTGTTGCGAGGCATTACTGAATTATACCGGGTTTCCACCACTCTAGCTGATTTCTGCCATGGAACTTCCCCAGGCTTCTAGTAATGGGAAGTTCGGGTCTTTTTACTGACTCTGATCTTTTCAACTCGTTCAGTCAAAAGAAGAAATCTTTCGACTAATTTCGTTAATTTGAGTCAGTAATGCCCAGAGCACGCAGGACCCCCTACCAGCGAACGATGAACTGAAAACTAGAAATAATTATTGAGATACAAGCCTCTCCTTTTCATGTCGTTCACCATAAGCAGAAAGGAAGAGGCGATGCCAGAGGTTTCACTCTCGCCAACATTTTTCCAAAATAAGCCCAATGCGTTTCTATGAGCTTATTTTAGACCTAAGCTTGTCGCCTGCCTTGACGCTTTTGGGACAACGACTCCCATTTGTTAGGGCGGAGACATGAGCATTTTCTACTTTTTTTATTTTATTTATTTAACCTTTTATTTAACTATGCAAGTCAGTTAAGAAAAAGTATTATTTACAATGACGGCCTACACCGGCCTCTCATCATTATATACAGATCTCTGCTACAAGGGGCTTGTTGTAGCTGTCATTTGTGACTGAGACTGAGTAAAAGTGTGCTTTAAACAATGTACATTTGTTTTTTGCTAGGCATACAAATAAGATTATTTATTGATATATTTGAAAAGAGGTCTATTTGTGGCCGCAACTGGACTAGATTGTGAACGACTCTTGGCAGAATGCATTGCTTGACTGCCATGAGGGAGATTAGCACAATATCGTTCGCAAAACTGCAGCACCCCAAATGATTCGTTCTCGAGTTCGAGTTTGTTGAGCAAAGGCTGTGTGTATGTTTTGGTTCAACAAAGATGTCTCGATAACATTCAATAATAAATTAATTGCATTCATTCTTGCGCCATGCAATCAATTATCAGTTATTCTCTATGCTGCCTGCACCATGATCTGTTTTCCTGTGCACATATGACAGAAAATGAAACGAATGACTCTCGGAATAGTAAAAAGAGTCTATCAAAATGAACGAATCATTCGCTATCTGCGCATCACTACAACATCACCTCGCGATGAGGCTACACTGTAACAATATGTTGGCATATTAAGTGCAACACTATACCATCTCGTTTTTCTTTTTTGTGTGTGATTGTGCTGTACAGTACAGATTGGATTGACCCGTTTCTTCATACAGTGATCTTTCCTCAATAATGGGCTTCTGTAATCAAGGCTGACCAGGTGCTTTCTACAAAAGGCACCATTGTCAAGGGGTGTGGAAACAGAGGAAAACAGAGCGAGGCGGTGTTGGCTATTTAAAGCAACCGAGACATCAAACATTAAATAAAACCTGCGTTATTGGTATTAATATAGTAGTAGGCCTATGGAATGAAGCTGTCGCCAGCCAGGAGGATGAAGGGTTTAAGGCCCTCCTATCTTCCTGGATTACCTTTCATATCACTGTTGTTTTTATTGGTTTATTATCTCATGCCTATTATTCTCTCCTCTCGTTTTGTGTCTTTGTTTTGTGTGATTTGTGTTATAGAATGATATCCATGTCATCTGTGTGGTTCTGTTGAATCTCCACATCCATTGAATGAGCGCCTTCGGAAAAGTATTCAGACCCCTTGACATTTTCCACATTTTGTTACGTTACGGCCTTATTCTAAAATGAATTAAATAAAGAAATCCTCATTTACATAGGTATTCAGACCCTTTGCTATGAGATTCGAAATTGAGCTCAGGTGCATCCTGTTTCCATTGATCATCCTTGAGATGTTTCTACAACTTGATTGGTGTCCACCTGTGGTAAATTCAATTGATTGGACATGATTTGGAAAGGCACACACCTGGATATATAAGGTCCCACAGTTGACAGTGCATGTCAGAGCAAAAACCAAGCCATGAGGTTAAAGGAATTGTCCGTAGTGCTCCGAGACAGGATTGTGTCAATGCACAGATCTGGGGAAGGGTAATAAAAAATGTCTGCTGCATTGAAGGTCCATAAGAACACAGTGGCCTCCATCATTCTTAAATGGAAGAAGTTTGGAACCACCAAGACTCTTCCTAGAGCTGGCCGCCCAACGAAGCTGAGCAATCGGGGTAGGAGAGCCTTGGTCAGGGAGGTGACCAAGAACCCCATGGTCACTCTGAAAGAGCTCCAGAGTTCTTCTGTGGAGATAGGAGAAGGTCAACCATCTCTGCAGCACTCCACCAATCAGGCCTTTATGGTAGAGTGGCCAGACGTAAGCCACTCCTCAGTAAAAGGCACATGACAGCCCGCTTGGAGTTTGCCAAAAGGCACCTAAGGACTCTCAGACCATGAGAAACAAGATTCTCTGTTCTGATGAATCCAAGATTGAACTCTTTGGCCTGAATGCGAAGCGTCACGTCTGGAGGAAACCGGGCACCATCCCTAACCCGATCTGAATACTTTCCCGAAGGCACTGTATATATGCCTAATTCATTTGTATATACTGTATATGACGTGAACAAACATGTGCTTCCGGTATTGTACTGAGCTCGTGTTTGCCTGCAGTAGCTTTATTCATGTCCTCCTCCTCTCGCCTCAGGTAAGAAAGTTGGAGAGGAAGCCGTAAAGCTGAACCTAATGTGTGCCGAAAGTCATCAGTGGTGAGTATTTTTCACTGAAGCCATACACTACACATACATCCTCTTAAACCTATGTTCCAGTCCTAGATGGGAAACTCAATAAGTTTGTAACCATAAAGTTATGTCACTTTTGGCTTGGTACTATGTCCGTTTATCCAGTCAAATGCCAAAGAGTGAATGTTGTTACCTCTCCTTGCATGTCCACTCCACTGATTGCATATATTATAGCCTCATTGTTGTCAGCATGAGTACATTTGAGAGCCCTGTGACAGTGAGTCACTCACTTCCTCCAACACCCGTCTATGACCACATTGGCTGTGTAGTGTGTACTATGCACACACCCACATTTCCAGCCATGGCACATAGAAGTGAGCTAGGTAAACAGAGGCTACTGTTAAAACCTACAGTGGGGGAAAAAAAGTATTTAGTCAGCCACCAATTGTGCAAGTTCTCCCACTTAAAAAGATGAGAGAGGCCTGTAATTTTCATCATAGGTACACGTCAACTGTGACAGACAAAATGAGGAAAAAAACACATTGTAGGAGTTTTAATGAATTTATTTGCAAATTATGGTGGAAAATAAGTATTTGGTCAATAGCAAAAGTTTCTCAATACCCTTTGTTGGCAATGACACAGGTCAAACGTTTTCTGTAAGTCTTCACAAGGTTTTCACACACTGTTGCTGGTATTTTGGCCCATTCCTCCATGCAGATCTCCTCTAGAGCAGTGATGTTTTGGGGCTGTCGCTGGGCAACACGGACTTTCAACTCCCTCCAAAGATTTTCTATGGCGTTGAGATCTGGAGACTGGCTAGGCCACTCCAGGACCTTGAAATGCTTCTTACGAAGCCACTCCTTCGTTGCCCGGGCGGTGTGTTTGGGATCATTGTCATGCTGAAAGATCCAGCCACGTTTCATCTTCAATGCCCTTGCTGATGGAAGGAGGTTTTCACTCAAAATCTCACGATACATGGCCCCATTCATTCTTTCCTTTACACGGATCAGTCGTCCTGGTCCCTTTGCAGAAAAACAGCCCCAAAGCATGATGTTTCCACCCCCATGCTTCACAGTAGGTATGGTGTTCTTTGGATGCAACTCAGCATTCTTTGTCCTCCAAACACGACGAGTTGAGTTTTTACCAAAAAGTTATATTTTGGTTTCATCTGACCATATGACATTCTCCCAATCCTCTTCTGGATCATCCAAATGCACTCTAGCAAACTTCAGACGGGCCTGGACATGTACTGGCTTAAGCAGGGGGACACGTCTGGCACTGCAGGATTTGAGTCCCTGGCGGCGTAGTGTGTTACTGATGGTAGGCTTTGTTACTTTGGTCCCAGCTCTCTGCAGGTCATTCACTAGGTCCCCCCGTGTGGTTCTGGGATTTTTGCTCACCGTTCTTGTGATCATTTTGAACCCACGGGGTGAGATCTTGCGTGGAGCCCCAGATCGAGGGAGATTATCAGTGGTCTTGTATGTCTTCCATTTCCTAATAATTGCTCCCACAGTTGATTTCTTCAAACCAAGCTGCTTACCTATTGCAGATTCAGTCTTCCCAGCCTGGTGCAGGTCTACAATTTTGTTTCTGGTGTCCTTTGACAGCTCTTTGGTCTTGGCCATAGTGGAGTTTGGAGTGTGACTGTTTGAGGTTGTGGACAGGTGTCTTTTATACTGATAACAAGTTCAAACAGGTATCCATTAATACAGGTAACGAGTGGAGGACAGAGGAGCCTCTTAAAGAAAAAGTTACAGGTCTGTGAGAGCCAGAAATCTTGCTTGTTTGTAGGTGACCAAATACTTATTTTCCACCATAATTTGCAAATAAATTCATTAAAAATCCTACAATGTGATTTTCTGGAGAAAAAAATTCTCAATTTGTCTGTCATAGTTGACGTGTACCTATAATAGAAATTACAGGTCTCTCTCATCTTTTTAAGTGGGAGAACTTGCACAATTGGTGGCTGACTAAATACTTTTTTTCCCCCACTACTTGAGGTGTGTGTGTGTGTGTGTGTGTGTGTGTGTGTGTGTGTGTGTGTGTGTGTGTGTGTGTGGACGTATTTTAACTATACTTGTGGGGACCAGAAGTCCCCAGAAGATTAATAAACAAACAAAAATTGGACAAACTGGGGACATTTTGTTGGTCCCCACAAGGTGTTTAGGGTTAAGGTTAAAATTGTGTTAGGGTTAGAAGCTAGGGTTAGTTTTAGGGTTAGGAGCTAGGTTTATGTTTAGGGTTAGGGTTAGGGGTTAGGGAAAATAGGATTTTGAATTGGGCTGAATTTTGTGTCCTCACAAGTTTAGTTGTAAAGACTGTGTGTGTGTGTTTTAACAGGATCTATGTAGGGCTGACCCCAATTCGTGAATTGTTTGGTCGATAGGCTGTTGGTCAACCAATATTTTTGTTGTTGTCGAGCAGTAGCAAATATAAAAAATATAAAAATATATAAAATAATTGGATTTATTTATATATACTTTTATTTGTATTTATTTATTGTCACACGGAACATGTCTTATTCGCATCCATCTCGGTTAACTAATCCATTGCGGATGCCAAGAATAATCCATTGCAGGTTTTCCTACTTACAAAGCATGTAGAGGTCTGTCGTTTTTATCATAGGTACATTTCAACTGTGAGAGACGGAATCTAAAACAAAAATCCAGAAAATCACATTGTATGATTTTAAGTTATTAATTTGCATTTTATTGCATGACATAAGTATTTGATACATCAGAAAAGCAGAACTTAATATTTGGTTCAGAAACCTTTGTTTGCAATTACAGAGATCATACGTTTCCTGTAGGTCTTGACCAGGTTTGCACACACTGCAGCAGGGATTTTGGCCCACTCCTCCATACAGACCTACTCCAGATCCTTCAGGTTTCGGGGCTGTCGCTGGGCAATACGGACTTTCAGCTCCCTCCAAAGATGTTCTATTGGGTTCAGGTCTGGAGACTGGCTAGGCCACTCCAGGACCTTGAGATGCTTCTTACGGAGCCACTCCTTAGTTGCCCTGGCTGTGTGTTTCGGGTCGTTGTCATGCTGGAAGACCCAGCCACGACCCATCTTCAATGCTCTTACTGAGGGAAGGAGGTTGTTGGCCAAGATCTCGCGATACATGGCCCCATCCATCCTCCCCTCAATACGGTGCAGTCGTCCTGTCCCCTTTGCAGAAAAGCATCCCCAAAGAATGATATTTCCACCTCCATGCTTTACAGTTGGGATGGTGTTCTTGGGGTTGTACTCATCCTTCTTCTTCCTCCAAACACGGCGAGTGGAGTTTAGACCAAAAAGCTCTATTTTTGTCTCATCAGACCACATGACCTTCTCCCATTCCTCCTCCTCTGGATCATCCAGATGGTCATTGGCAAACTTTAGACGGGCCTGGACATGCGCTGGCGTGAGCAGGGGGACCTTGCGTGCGCTGCAGGATTTTAATCCATGACGGCGTAGTGTGTTACTAATGGTTTTCTTTGAGACTGTGGTCCCAGCTCTCTTCAGGTCATTGACCGTGTAGTTCTGGGCTGATCTCTCACCTTCCTCATGATCATTGATGCCCCACGAGGTGAGATCTTGCATGGAGCCCCAGACCGAGGGTGATTGACCGTCATCTTGAACTTCTTCCATTTTCTAATAATTGCGCCAACAGTTGTTGCCTTCTCACCAAGCTGCTTGCCTATTGTCCTGTAGCCCATCCCAGCCTTGTGCAGGTCTACAATTGTATCCCTGATGTCCTTACACAGCTCTCTGGTCTTGGCCATTGTGGAGAGGTTAGAGTCTGTTTGATTGTGTGTCGACAGGTGTGTTTTATACAGATAACGAGTTCAAACAGGTGCAGTTAATACAGGTAATGAGTGGAGAACAGGAGGGCTTCTTAAAGAAAAACTAACAGGTCTGTGAGAGCCGGAATTCTTACTGGTTGGTAGGTGATCAAATACTTATGTCATGCAATAAAATGCAAATTAATTACTTAAAAATCATACAATGTGATTTTCTGGATTTTTGTTTTAGATTCTGCCTCTCACAGTTGAAGTGTACCTATGATAAAAATGACAGACCTCTACATGCTTTGTAAGTAGGAAAACCTGTAAAATCGGCAGTGTATCAAATACTTGTTCTCCCCACTGTATGCTACACTACCTACTCATTCAAGGGTTTTTCTTAATTTTTACTATTTTCTACGTTGTAGAATAATAGTGAAGACATCAAAACTATGAAATAACACATATGGAATCATGTAGTAACCAAATAAGTGTTAAACAAATCAAAATATATTTTATATTTGAGATTCTTCAAACAGCCACACTTTGCCTTGATGACAGCTTTGCACACTCTTGGCATTCTCTCAACCAGCTTAACCTGGAATGCCTTTCCAACAGTCTTGAAGGAGTTCCCACATATGCTGAGCACTTGTTCGTTGCTTTTCCTTCACTCTGCGGTCCGACTCATCCCAAACCATCTCAATTTGGTTGAGGTCGGGGGATTGTGGAGGCCAGGTCATCTGATGCAGCACTCATCACTCTCCTTCTTGGTCAAAAAGCCTTTACACAGCCTGGAGGTGTGTTGGGTCATTGTCCTGTTGAAAAACAAATGATAGTCCCACTAAGCCCAAACCAGATGGAATGGCGTATCGCTGCAGAATGCTGTGGTAGTCATGCTGGTTAAGTGTGCCTTGAATTCTAAATAAATCACAGACAGTGTCACCAGCAAAGCACCCCCACACCATCACACCACCTCCTCCATGCTTTACGGTCGGAAATACGGAGATCATCCGTTCAACACACCGCGTCTCACAAAGACAAAGCGGTTGGAACCAAATGACACATTTCCACCGGTCTAATGTCCATTGCTCGTGTTTCTTGGCCCAAGCAAGTATCTTCTTCTTATTGGTGTCCTTTAGTAGTGGTTTCTTTGCAGCAGTTCGACCATGAAGGCCTTATTCACACAGTCTCCTCTGAACAGTTGCTGTTGAGATGTGTCTGTTACTTGAACTCTGTGAAGCATTTATTTGGGCTGCAATTTCTGAGGCTGGTAACTCTAATGAACTTATCCTCTGCAGCAGAGGTAACTCTGGGTCTTCCATTCCTGTTGCGGTCCTCATGAGACCCAGTTTCATCATAGTGCTTGATGGTTTTTGCGACTGCACTTAAAGAAACTTTAAAAGTTATTGTAATTTTCCATATTGACTGACCTTCATGTCTTACAAAAGTAATGATGGATTGTCGTCTCTCTTTGCTTATTTGAGCTGTTCTTGCCATAATACGGACTTAGTCTTTTACCAAATAGGGCTATCTTCTGTATACCCCCCACCTTGTCACAACACAACTGATTGGCTCAAACGCATTAAGAAGGAAAGAATTTCCACAAATTAACTTTTAAGAAGGCACACCTGTTCATTGAAATGCATTCCAGGTGACTACTGCATGAAGCTGGTTGAGAGAATGCCAAGAGTGTGCAAAGCTGTCATCAAGGCAAAGGGTGGCTATTTGAAGAATCTCAAATCTCAAATATATTTTGATTTGTTTAACACTTTTTTAGTTAATACATGATTCCGTTTGTGTTATTTTATAGTTTTTATGTCTTCCCTTTTATTCTACAATGTAGAAAATAGTACAAATCAAGAAAAACCCTTTAATGAGTAGGTGCTCTAAAACTTTTGACCGGTATTGTACACTTGTGAGAAACAAGTTTTAGGTTATTTCATTCCATTTCCGAGTTTTGTCAATTTAGTCATTGTCTTTTGTTTGGAGCGCTCCTGTCAATGTTGAGGAAGGATGCGCACCAGATTACGCATAGAAGTAGGCCTATAGGCTACATGATCTGCGCCCAAATGTAAGCATATAAATGTGCCCATTTGGGGATCTGATAGTATTTCTGATTAGCTTAACGCACCACCACTAATGAGCTGTAGAGCTTCTCGAAGTAATGTTTTTTTCACCTCAAACAGCAAGCAAACAATGTCTGTTTTTACATCCATTGAGAATGACAATAGTTCCTCAATGTATTTGAAACATCTTTCCAGCTCTCTCCCTTTCGATAACCACTAAGAGTGAAGGGGGAAAATGTCATTCGGAAAGAGTGGAAACATCATAAAATAGTCCTACCTGATTACTTCTTATCCCTTGCTCAAATAGCCTACAGCTGTGTCTGTCCCGGAGCTCACTGGCGTGGGAACTGAGGGCCCAGAATATTTTATACAATGTTGCAAGTTTGCTATCACAAGCTTAGGGCCAGACCCAAGTTAATAGCTGATACAATGTTTCAAGTTTGTTGCAGACAGGCCATGCATAGCCAATGTGATTTATAGGATATTTATTTATTATAATTTTTTTCTACCTGCAGGCTGCAATGTTTTTATTTGTTGTCTTTATAGGCTATTTTTACATAGTTGGCAATGGCAATAGAAGTTACTTTTTAGGTTTGTGTCATTTTCATTTAGATTTGGAGAACATTTTGATTAACCACATGATGAATGAAACTGTTCCACGAAAATGTGCATATGAAAACCCTAACTGGCACACAGATCGGTAGAAATTGTAAGATAAATTGGCATTCCATATGAAAGGTTGCCGACTCCTCGTGTAGCCTATTACCAGCAACTTCAGGAGAGTAATGACAGAATCTGCAAAAGCCAATAGGAGCGGAAGAAGGATGGTCAGGTTAAGGTTTTTTTCTTCTGGTTATCTTGATCTCTAGCTCCCTCTTTGGTAATGTGTGTCTTATTTCATCAAAGAGTGCGCTTAAATCATCAGACAAGCTCAATGCATATATAGTTGATTTTTTTTTTTTTTACGCGTAGGGTGTGTCTATATATGGAAAAAATTTGACTAATCGATATTTCAAAAGAATAGACAACTTTCGGTCTACCAATGTTTTTTTTTGTAGGGGACAGCCCTAGATTTATGGAAGGCTTTCCTCTCCCTTTAACAGCTGTGTGTCCCTGGAGCTTTATCCCAGATTCAAGGTTGTGTTTGTTAGGCACCAAATGGAAGAAAACGGACTGAAACACAGAGGGACCTGGACTTGTGCCCCCCCCCCCCATGAACACGACCTAGTCCTGGTATGGGGAGAGATGGTCATGTACAGTAGCATAAAGGAATAGAACTGTGATCAGAACCACCCTTTGAACGGCACACACCTAGGACTCAAGCAATACTATTTCTGACCCACTCAAATTATGTGTGAATCAGTCATGGATGAATTCATATCCAATTAACCTCTTTAGTTAATACAAGGCCTGAGACAGAGTGAAAACATGCAATAGGACTTGCCTCAGGACAGAGGTTCAGGACCCTCTAGTTTTGGGTGAGTGACAGAGTAGCCCTGCAGCTGTCCCTAGAACAGTGACTCAGGCCTTCTTGGGCTGCAGTGAGTGACAGGAAATGTGTCCTTACAAGCATCTAGTTGTAGAGTGCCTTGCAATGCCTGCCAGGTAAAATAGGACAAGGCCAATCATCACTCTAGTGATTCAAAAGGAACCACTCAGGAAAGTTATCTCAGGGACTACATATTGATTTGATTTAAGATTGTGTGTTGTTGTTATGCTGCCAAAGCACACTAGGCCATGGCAGGAGATTGTCTGACTTGTGTGAACTAATCTTGATGATAACCTACAGTGCCTTCAGAAAGTATTCACACCCCTTGACTTTTTCCACATTTTGTTGTTACAGCCTGAATTAAACATTGATTTAACTACAGTTTGGATGGTGTATCAATACACCCAGTCAATACTATGATACAGGCTTAAATCCTAACTCAGTTGCCGTAGAGGAAGGAAACCTCTCAGGGATTTCACCATGAGGCCAATGGTGAGTTTAAAACAGTTAGTTTAATGGCTGTGCTAGGAGAAAACTGAGGATGGATCAACAATATTGTAGATACTCCACAATACTACCCTAAATGACAGAGTGAAATGAAGGAAGCCTGGACAGAATAAAAATATTCCAAAACATGCATCCTGTTTGCAATAAGGCACAAAAGTAAAACTGCAAAACATGTGGCAATGAAATTAACTTTATGTCCTGGTTATGTTACCACTCTTCATATTTTCAAGCATGGTGGTGGCTGCATCATGTTATGGGTATGCTTGCCATCGGCAAGAACTAGGGATTTTTGGGGGGATACAAAGAAATGGAATAGAGCTAAGCACAGGCAAAATCCTAGAGGAAAACCTGGTTCCGTCTGCTTTCCAAAAGACACTGGGAGACACAGACACCTTTCAGTAGGACAATAACCTAAAACACAAGGCCAAATATACACTGGAGTTGCTTACCAAGATGACATTGAATGTTCCTGAGTGGCCTAGGTCCAGTTTTGACTTAAATCGGCTTGGAAATCTATGGCAAGACTTAAATGGCTGTCTAGCAATAATCAACAGCCAACTTGACAGGGCTTGAATAATTTTTAAAAGAATGATGTGCAAATATTGTACAATCCAGGTGTGCAAAGCTCTTAGACTTACCCAGAAAGACTCACAACTGTAATCAATGCCAAAGGTGATTATAACATGTATTGACTCAGGGGTGTGAATACTTATGTAAATGAGCTAAAATGTGTCATTATGGGCTATTGTGTGTAGATGGCTGAGACAAAAAAATCTATTTAATCATTTTTGAATTCAGGCTGTAACACAAAATGTGAAGGTAGACAGTGAGCGCCAAAAGTATTGGGACAGTGACACATTTGTTGTTTTGGCTCTGTACTCCAGCACTTTGGATTTGAAATTATACAATGACAGTTTAAAGTGCAGACTGTCAGCTTTAATTTGAGGGTATTTTCATCCATATCAGGTGAACCGTTTAGAAATTACAGCACTTTCTGTACATAGTCCCCCCATTTTAGGGTTCCAAAAGTATTGGGACAAATTCACTTATGTGTATTAAAGTAGTCAAAAGTTTAGTATTTGGTCCCATATTCATAGCACACAATGACTATATCTTGCTTGTGACTACATATTTGTTGGATGCATTTGCTGTTTGTTTTGGTTATTTTAGATTATTTTGTGCCCAATAGAAATTAATGTTAAATAATGTATTGTGTCATTTTTGAGTCACTTTTATTGTTAAAAAAAATAGAGTATGTTTTTAAACACTTCTACATTAATGTGGATGCTACCATGATTACGGATAATCCTGAATGAATCGTGAATAATGATGAGTGAGAAAGTTAGACGCACAAATATCATACTCCCCCCCCAAAAAAAATGCTAACCACCTCTGTTATTGTAATGGTGAGAGGTTAGCATGTTTTGGAGGTATGATATTTGTGTGTCTGAATCAACTTGAACATAAGAAGAATTGTTTATTAGATAACTGGGTTCCTCATCAATCTACACACGATACCCCATATTGACAAAGCGAAAACAGGTTTACAAATTTTTAAAATAAGAAATACCTTATTTACCTACGTGTTCGGACCCTTTGCTATGAGACTCGAAATTGAGCTCCGGTGCATCCTGTTTCCAATTTGTCATCCTTGATGTTTCTACAACTTGATTGGAGTCCACCTGTGGTAAAGTAAATTGATTGGACATGATTTGGAAAGGCACACACCTGTCTATATAAGGTCCCACAGTTTACAGTGCATGTCAGAGCAAAAACCAGGCCATGAGGTTGAAGGAATTGTCCGTAGAGCTCCGAGACAGGATTTTGTCGAGGCACAGATCTGGGGAAGGGTACCAAAAAATTTCTGCTGCATTGAAGATCCCCAAGAACACAGTGGCCTCCATCATTTTAAATGGAAGAGGTTTGGAACCACCTAGACTCTTCCTAGAGCTGGACGCCCGGCCAAACTGAGCAATCAGGGGAGAAGGGCCTTGGTCAGAGAGGTGACCAAGAACCCGATGGTCACTCTGACAGAACTCCAAAGTTCCGCAGTGGAGATGGGAGAACCTTCCAGAAGGACAACCATCTCTGCAGCCCTCCACCAATCAGGCCTTTATGGTAGAGTGGCCAGACGGAATCCACTCCTCAGTAAAAGGCACATGACAGCCCGCTTGGAGTTTGCCACAAGGCACTTAAAGGACTCTCAGACCATGAGAAACAAGATTCAATGGTTTGATGACGCAAGATATAACTCTGGCCTGACTGCCAAGCGTCACGTCTGGAGGAAACCTGGCACCATCCCTGCTGTGAATCATGGTGGTGGCAGCATCATGCTGTGGGGATGTTTTTCAGTGGCAGGGACTGGGAGACCAGTCAGGATCAAGGGAAAGTTGAACGGAGCAAAGTACAGAGAGATCCTTGATGAAAACCTGCTCCAGAGCGCTCTGGACCTCAGACTGGGGGGAAGGTTCACCTTCCAACAGGACAATGACCCTAAGCACACAGCCAAGACAATGCAGGAGTGGCTTTGGGACAAGTCTGAATGTCCTTGAGTGGCCCAGCCAGAGCCCGGACTTGAACCCGATCGAACATCTCTGGAGAGACCTGAAAATAGTTGTGCAGCGACGCTCCCCATCCAACCTGAGCTTGAGAGGATTTGCAAAGAAGAATGGGAGAAACTCCCAAAATACAGTTGTGCCAAGCTTGTAGCGTCATTCCTAGGGCTGTTGCGGTGACCGTATTACCGCCAGTCCGGCGGTCACGAATCATGAAGGCAGTCAAATTCCACGTGACCGTTTAGTGACGGTAATTAGGCTTCTCCAAGCTCTGATGCTGCTGATGGTCATTAGTAGCTTACCAAACTTGCTAACTGCCTGGTACTCAGCACTCTATTGTCCCTCTAATCACTCTGACATCAATGCAAATGTTTTCGAAAATCTAATCAAACACTTAATGAGAGCCCATGAGCTCATGTTGCGCAACATTTCAATAGGCTATGCAATTGCGAGAGAAAACCAAGTGATGGCCTCTACTAAAAAGAGGAGGATCAGCTTTCTATAGGCTAGGCCTATTATATTCATTTCTCAACTTTCCTTATATTAAGCACATTGCTTATATTTACAACAGGAGTATAGCCTACCTGGCTGGCATGAAAATAAACCACGGGGAAAAGCGTCCTCCATTCACTATTTAAGTGTATGCCAAGAGTATGCAAAGCTGTCATCAAGGCAAAGGGTGGCTACTTTGAAAAATCTAAAATATATTTTGATTTGTTTAACACTATTTTGGTGACTACATGATTCCGTATGTGTTATTTCATAGTTTTGATGTCTTCACTATTACCCTGAACCCTGAACCAGGTTTTCCTCTAGGATTTTGCCTGGGCTTAACTCTATTCCCTTGTCCTTGCAACATGATGCAGCCACCACCATGCTTGAAAATATGAAGAGTGGTATTCAGTGATGTCTTGTGTTGGATTGCCCTAAACGAAACACTTTGTATTCAGGACATAAAGTTCATTTCTTTGCCACATTTTTTGCAGTTTTAATTGAGTGCCTTTTTGCAAACAGGATGCATTTTTTGGAATATTTTTTATTCTGTACAGACTTCCTTCTTTTCACTCTGTCATTTAGGTTAGCATTGTGGAGTAACTACAATGTTGTTGATCCATCCTCAGTTTCCTCCTATCACAGTCATTCAACTTTTTAAAATCACCATTGGCCTGAGCGGTTTCCGTCCTCTCCGGCAACTGAGTTAGGAAGGACGCCTGTATCGTTGTAGTGACTGGGTGTATTGATACACGATCCAAAGTGTAATTAATAACTTCAACATGCTCAAAGGGATATTCAATTTCTGCTTTAAAAAAATATATGTATTTACCCATCTACCAATAGGTGCCCTTTGCAAGGCATTGGAAAACCTCCCTGGTCTTTGTGTTTGAATCTGTGTTTGACTGGGGGACCTTACAGATAATTGTATGTGTGGGGTACAGAGATGAGGTAGTCATTTAAAAAATCATGGTAAACACTATTATTGCACACAGATTGAGTCCATGCAACTTATGTGACTTATTCTAACCACATTTTTACTCCTGAACTTATTTAGGCTTGCCATAACAAAGGGGTTGAATACGTATTGACTCTAAGACATTTCAGCTTTTCATTTGTAATTAATTTGTAAAACATTTCTAAAAACAGAATTCCACTTTTACATTATGGGGTATTGTGTGTAGACCAGTGACACAAAATCTCAATTTAATCCATTTTAAATTCAGGCTGTAACACAACAAAATGTGGAAAAAGTAAAGGGGTGTGAATACTTTCTGAAGGCACTGTACGTGCATATTGCGTGTGCACACATGCGTCCAGGCTTTGCAATGTGTACATGCATGTGTGCGTGTAGCACTCATTCGTGTGTGTGTCTGTGCACGTGCACGTACACGTACAGGCACGTGTGTGTGTTTGTATAACCTCAGCAGGCTGACAGGAGACATTGATTGCATTTTGGCATCCTAGTCTTTGTTTATAGGTGCATTTTCATTGATCCCCGTGTTTGAACTTAACCTCTGTAAAACCCTGAATATAGGGCCCCTCCATCAGTACAAAGGCGTGTGGATTAGCCGTTATGCTCTGTGCCAGTCAGAAAGTGACCACTTTGACCTCTGGAACAGCAACTTTACACATGCCTTTGTTGCTGCGGTCATCATTGGTGTTACTGGGACAACAGAGCTTTCTACTCACTCATGCTTTATCACTCGCTCTGGAAACCAACCCTGTTTCCTCAGACTTCTCAAACTTTCCACTGCAGGTGTTGGTTTACGCTTGTTAATTATGGTTTACAGTTCCTCACACTGTGTAAAACGACTGTCGGGGTGTCCAAACCCCCCCTTTACAAAAACACTATCCAGTTGTTCCATTGCTGTTTGCTAAGAACATTACCACATCCACTCCCACACACTCAAACAGGTTGCCCAGGAATCGGACTTCCACCACCTCCTGTTTTTGTGCTATTTAGGTTTAGCCTTGGGCGCTGCCTGCCTGCTGGTCCTCGGTCTCTTTCAATGAGTTCTCTATGTTTGGATCTGAGGGCTGAAATGATCTGCTGCTTTCGCCATGCAGTTGACACTAACCCCCCTTTGTCTTTGGCCAGTGGAGAGGGGGACTTCAAGGAAGACGTGGGTTGGAATAACTTTGTGCAATGTCCTGGCGATGGCAGTGCTCCCCTCTGCCGTGTTCAATATATAATTGTTAATCCATTTAGGAAATCCAAGGAACGGGCATAATAAACTAAATCGAACGTCTGTTTATCGAAAATATTTTGGTTTGTAACCTTAAAAAATTGATTTCATCTTGCCAAATTGAGCACCGTTTCAAATTATCACTCTCTGAGAATAATTGTTACAGAAGCGAGATGCAAATAACTTCACACTATTCTGTTCTATTTTATTCTGTTATGTTACATAATGTTTTTTACTATAAAATAGTTGTCTTGATTGTGAAAAGGGCTCGGGTAATAAGAGCGTCTTGTCTGCTAAATTAACAAAACAAGGCTGTCATTGCACAGCCATAGGCTTCTACAAACAAGCACCACACTGTTGAGGTTACTACCTTTTTGAAGATTGTGTCCCACGATATAATATAACCAGTTGATATTAGTTTCAATAATTGAATCTTAAATGGCACTTCTTTTTTTATTGACTGAAAATGTATGTATGTACAGTGGGGAAAAAAGTATTTAGTCAGCCACCAATTGTGCAAGTTCTCCCACTTAAAAAGAAGAGAGAGGCCTGTAATTTTCATCATAGGTACACGTCAACTATGACAGACAAATTGAGGAAAAAAATTCCAGAAAATCACATTGTAGGATTTTTTATGAATTTATTTGCAAATTATGGTGGAAAATAAATATTTGGTCACCTACAAACAAGCAAGATATCTGGCTCTCACAGACCTGTAACTTCTTCTTTAAGAGGCTCCTCTGTCCTCCACTCGTTACCTGTATTAATGGCACCTGTTTGAACTTGTTATCAGTATAAAAGACACCCGTCCACAACCTACCTCAAACATTCACACTCCAAACTCCAAGAAGCATTTCAAGGTCCTGGAGTGGCCTAGCCAGTCTCCAGATCTCAACCCCATAGAAAATCTTTGGAGGGAGTTGAAAGTCAGTGTTGCCCAGCGACAGCCCCAAAACATCACTGCTCTAGAGGAGATCTACATGGAGGAATGGGCCAAAATACCAGCAACAGTGTGTGAAAACCTTGTGAAGACTTACAGAAAACGTTTGACCTGTGTCATTGCCAACAAAGGGTATATAACAAAGTATTGAGAAACTTTTGTTATTGACCAAATACTTATTTTCCACCATAATTTGCAAATAAATTCATTAAAAATCCTACAATGTGATTTTCTGGAATTTTTTTTCTCATTTTGTCTGTCATAGTTGACGTGTACCTTTGATGAAAATTACAGGCCTCTCTCATCTTTTTAAGTGGGAGAACTTGCACAATTGGTGGCTGACTAAATACTTTTTTCCCCACTGTAACTCTGTATGCCATGGCCTATCCAACCCTGTTCCTGCAGCTACCCAGTTCTTAATTTGGGAAACCAAGTGAAATCGGTTCGGGAACATCGATAGTAACATGTTTTCATAACGAAACATATTTCATTAAACTGTTGACAGGCCCTCTTTCTGCGTGCTGGAGAAAGGAATGGAGGAAAGAGGGGAGGAGATGGAAACGCACGGTGGTGAGATATTCTGTAGCTAAAGGTAATGTGTCAGCCTATTAATTATGAAATATAAAAAATGCCCTATTACTAGGGTATTCAAAATCAAATACAAATTCACTATAATTGTAGGCTCAGAATTAGTTTAACTTAGGCTAGACAAATTATGTACCAAATCAGTATTTTTAAAAATGTTTTTTCTGGCTTGTGGATTATGCGGTAAGCTATGTATTGTATAATGGCACAATTATTTTAATTATGTTTTTTTTTGCATATGCATAAGCTCTAATATGCTTTGTTTTGAATTTATCACCACTTTAGAAAGCACTGTCCATTTTATTGTGTTAGGCTTTGAAACAACATCCACAACGACCATGTTTTCCACTCAGTTTCAACCTGTTGTCGAACTTTCTTAAAATTGATCAATCACAGTGAGGTGATTTGATGATAAGCGTTTTATGTGGTTTTCGAACGCATTTGCATTGATGTCAGAGTGGTTAGAGGGACATTAGAGCCCTGAGTACCAGGCCATTAGCGACATTAGCGACCTGATGATCATTAGCGAGTTGGGTATTACTAACGCATGCCCAGATTGCATAAGGGATTACCGTGACTCAACGGTCGCATAGAATTTGACTGCAGTCATAACTTATGACTGCCGGTGTGGCAGTAATATGGTCACCGTAACAGCCCTAGGGTGTGCTCTCTCCGCTGTCTCCTGTAGTCCACGATCAGCTCCTTAGTTTTGTTGATGTTGAGGGAGAGATTATTTTCCTGGCACCACTCCACCAGGGCTCTCGCCTCCTCCCTGTAGGATGTCTCATCGTTGTTGGTAATCAGGCCTACCACTGTTGTATACTCAGCAAACGTCATGATTGAGTTGGAGCTGTGCATGGCCACACAGTCATGGGTGAACAGGGAGTACAGGAGGGGGCTGAGCACGCACCCCTGATCCATGTTGAGGATCAGCGTGGCGGAGGTGTTGTTGCCTTACTTCACCACTAGAGGTTGGCCCAGCAGGAAGTCCAGGACCCAGTTGCACAGGGAGGGGTTCAGACTCAGGGCCCTGAGCTTAGTGATGAACTTGGAGGGCACTATGGTGTTGAAGGCTGAGCTGTAGTCGAACAGCATTCTTACATAGGCATTTCTCTTGTCCAGGTGGGATAGGGCAGTGTTCAGGGAAATGGCGATTGCTTCGTCCGTGGATCTGTTGTGGCGATATGCGAATTGTAGTGGGTTTAGGGTGTCAGGTAAGGTGGAGATGATATGGTCCTTAACTAGCCTCTCAAAGCAGTTCATGATGACAGAAGTGAGTGCTATGGGGTGATAGTCATTTAATTCAGTTACCTTCGCTTTCTTGGGTACAGGCACAATGGTGGACATCTTTAAGCAAGTGGGGACAACAGACTGGGATATGGAAAGATTGAATATGTCCGTAAACACTCCAGCCAGTTGGTCTACACATGCTCTGAGGACGCGGCTTGGGAAGCCATCTGGGCCCGCAGCCTTACGAGGGTTAACACGCTTAAATGACTTCCTCACGTTGGCCACGGAGAACAAGAGCACACAGTGCTCCTGAGCGTCAGGGGCCCGCGTAAGCAGCTCTATGTTGTTTTCCTCAAAGCAGGCGAAGAAGGTGTTTAGCTCGTCCGGGAGCGACGCGTCAGTGTCTGCGATGTGGTTGGCTTTCCCTTTATAATTCGGGATTGTCTGGAGTCCCTGTCACAAACGTCTCGTGTCTGAGCCGTTGAATTGGGACTCCACTTTGTCCCCATCCTGTCGTTTTACCTTTGATTGTCTTACGGAGGTCGTGGCTGGCCTGCTTGTACACATCCATGTTCCAAGTCACCTTGCCATGGTTAAATGCGATGGTTCACACCTTCAGTTTTGGGGGCCAAAATAAAAATCCCTTGCGGGCCTCTTGCCAACCCCCCGACCTATAGCCTATGATTAACTCGGTCCTATCCCCCTTCTGTGCCTTCTCAGTATAGCTATGTTTCCCCCCAACCCCACCCTAAACCGGGTTTGTATCCTGCACCCAACCCCTCCCTCCTTAAAAAAAGATGTCCTGTTTATTCTGGTCCTTTTAATAATGCACATGATTTTATGATCTTTTGTACAGCACTTGATTTTATGTAGGCCTACTTTTAATGTAAGACATTCTTGAGTGCCCTGAATGGCAAATAAAATATTTTATTATTACTAATATAATACGATTAACAGCTATAAATCTAGAGTGAAGTCAGGGGAGGGGAGGGAAAAAAAACAAAGTAGCATTCCAGAGGTGCGTACTAATCAGGGTTCAGGTCAAACATCTCACAGGAGAGGGCTGCGACAGTGAAGGACGGATTGCTCAATATCAACCGCAGCAAATGTTTCCTGTCTCTGTGGTTATGCCCGGTTAAGTATTATTGTTCAGCACGTAGCTTTGTTCTGGCAGTGCTTCAAGAGAAGTATGTGGATCTGGAGGTGCCAGTGCAAACAGAAAAGCGCTCATGATCGGCCGAGCACATAATGCTGATGGCTCACCTCGCCGCTCGGAGGAATCTGGATTTCCCCCTGTGGAGGAACACTATGGGGAATTTTCATTTAGGTTGGGAAAGATCGGGAATGTTGCTACTTACCAACAAAATGTAAGATCTGATCCCTATACAGCGCCTTGCAAAAGTATTCAGACCCCTTGGATTTCTTCACATTTTATTGTTTTACAGTGGGATTACATTTGTATTTACATGTTTGTGTCAATAATCTACACAAATGTCAAAGTGGAAGAAGATGTTTTATTTTATTTTATTAATAAAAATTAAATAACAAAAATAGTCGTTGCAATTATATAATTGTAATGGCTTAGCAGATAATAACAAAAGAAGAACAATATTTACATGGCTCAAAGAGATGGAATATGATATCTATTGTTTACAGGAAACTCATTCAACAATTCTAGATGAAGTTGTGTGGAAAAAGGACTGGGGGGGGCAAAATATACTTCTCCCATGGGCAAAGAAACTCAAAAGGGGTGATGATATTAATTAACAGTAATTTCGATCCAAGTGTGCAAATTGTCCAAACAGATCCGCAAGGTAGATGGATGATTTTAAATATGTTATTGGACCATAAACAGATATGGCTCATTAACCTTTACGGACCAAATAATGATGATCCACGCTTCTTTGACAATATATATAATAAATGATTAACCCTGCAAGCAATACAATACTCTATTATTATGGTGGGAGATTATAATACTGTTTTAAATAGCTCAATGGATAGCTCAATCACACTACAAACTATCACCCTCATGCTCTTAAGGAAATCTTGAATGTCATGGATACATTAGAACTAGTGGATATATGGAGGCTTAAATATCCTGACCTAGTGAGATATACATGGCGGAGACTCAATCAAGCAAGTCATCTTGACTTCCTTCTTATGTCATTCTCGTTGGCACCAAAAGTTTAAAAAGTGTTGATAGGGGACAGAATGCGGTCGGACCATCATATAACTGGCATTTCCATTACTCTTACTGAATTTCCATGTGGGCGAGGATATTGAAAATATAATCAAAGCCTATTGGATGATAACTTGTTTTTAACTAGGACAGAGGAATTTCTAACTGAATTTTTCTGACATAACATAGGTACAGCAAATCCCCTTATTGTATGGGACACTTTTAAATGTGCCTTTAGAGGCCATGCAATTCAGTACTCATCTCGAAAACAAAAGCAATTTAGGTCAAGAGTGTCCATACTAGAAGGTCTAACAGAACAGATAGATAGCAATAAAAACTGTAACATAGAGGCTCAGAATAAATTAGAGGAAAAACAAAAATAAATGGAGAAACTTATTCAAGAAAGATCAAGTGTAATATATTATAAAAAATAAAGCAAACTGGATGGAATATGGGGAAAAATGCACAAAATTATGTTTTAATCTTCAACATAGAAATGCTACCAAAAAGAATTTACTGACACCGGTTACAAATGACGGAGTCACCCATGATTCACCAAATTATATTTTGAAGGAGGAAGCATATGTTATCGTTTCAGTCGCCTCCATCTCCTCTAACTGAAGCTAATTGTAGGGATTTTTTTTCAATTGATAATGTAAAATTAACAGCCATACAGAAAGACTCATGTGAAGGTGAAATTACATAGGAGGAACTTCTGGATGCAATTAAAGACTTTAAGTCCGGGAAAACTCCAGGGTTGGATGGCATACCAGTCGAGGTATACCAAACCTTTTTTGTAACAGGGTACAAGTGGGAAATATAAAGATCCAGTCCAATTGGAGGCCCCTTACACTTTAGTGTTGTGATGCAAAAATTCTAGCAAAATGTATAGCGCATAGAATTAAAAAAAGGTATTGTTGGACATTATTCATTCTAATCAGACAGGGTTTGTACATGGACGATACATTGGAGATAATATAAGGCAAGTACTGGAAACAATAGAACACTATGAAAAATCTGGGAAACCAGGCCTGCTATTCATAGCAGACTTCGAAAAGGCATTTGATAAAGTACGACTGGAGTTTATATATAAATGCCTGGATTATTTCAATTTTGGAGAATCTCTTATGAAATGGGTTAAAATCATGTATAGTAACCCTAGTTGTAAAATAGTAAATAATGACTATTTCTCAGAAAGTTTTAAACTGACAAGAGGAGTAAAACAAGGTTGTCCACTTTTGGCATATCTATTTCTTATGGCCATCGAACTGTTAGCGATTAAAATCAGATCCAACAATAAGATCAAGGGATTAGAAATCCAGGGCTTAAAAACAAAGGTGTCATTGTACGCTGATGATTCATGTTTTCTTTTAAATCCTCAACTTCAATCCCTCTACAGCCTCATAGAGGATCTAGATACATTTTCTAACTTCTCTGGATTACAACCAAATTATGATAAATGTACCATATTATGTATTGGATCACTAAAAAATACAATTTTTACATGACCATGTAGTTTACCAATAAAATGGTCTGATGGTGATGTGGATATACTCAGAATACATATCCCAAATGAAATAAATGATCTCACTCCAATAGATTTTAATAGAAAGTTAGCAAAAATAGATAAGTTCTTGCTACCATGGAAAGGTAAATACAGTTGAAGTCGGAAGTTTACATATATCTTATCCAAATACATTTAAACTCCTAGTAAAGATTCCGTGTCCTAGGTCAGTTAGGATCACCACTTTATTTTAAGAATGTGAAATGTCAGAATAATAGTAGAGAGAATGATTTATTTAAGCTTTTGTTTATTTTATCACATTCCCAGTGGATCAGAAGTTTACATACACTCAATTAGTATTTGGTAGCATTGCCTTTCAATTGTTTAACTTGGGTCAAACGTTTCGGGTAGCCTTCCACAAACTTCCCACAATAAGTTGGATGAATTTTGGCCCATTCTTCCTGACAGAGCTGGTGTAACTGAGTCAGGTTTGTAGGTCTCCTTGCTCGCACACGCTTTTTCAGTTCTGCCCACACATTTTCTATAGGATTGAGGTCAGGGCCTTGTGATGGCCACTCCAATACCTTGACTTTGTTGTCCTTAAGCCATAACTTTGGAAGGATGCTTGGGGTCATTGTCCATTTGGAAGACCCATTTGCGACCAAGCTTTAACTTCCTGACTGATGTCTTGAGATGTTGCTTCAATATATCCACATAATTTTCCTTCCTCGTGATGCCATCTATTTTGTGAAGTGCACCAGTCCCTCCTGCAGCAAAGCACCCCCACAGCATGATGCTGCCACCCCTGTTCTTCACGGTTGGGATGGTGTTCTTCGGCTGGCAAGCCTGCCCCTTTTTCCTCCAAACATAACGATGGTCATTATGGCCAAACAGTTCTATTTTTGTTTCATCAGACCAGAGGACATTTCTCCAAAAAGTACGATCTTTGTCCCCATGTGCAGTTGCAAACCAGAGTCTGGCTTTTTTATGGCGGTTTTGGAGCAGTGGCTTCATCCTTGCTGATAAAGATACATCCTTTAAAATAAAGATAAATCCTTTAATGAGTAGGTGTGTCCAAACTTTTGACTGGTAGTGTACATGACAGACAATCTTGACAATCTCTTAACATACAGTGGGGGAAAAAAGTATTTAGTCAGCCACCAATTGTGCAAGTTCTCCCACTTAAAAAGATGAGAGAGGCCTGTAATTTTCATCATAGGTACAAGTCAACTATGACAGACAAAATGAGAAAAGAAAATCCAGAAAATCACATTGTAGGATTTTTAATGAATTTATTTGCAAATTATGGTGGAAAATAAGTATTTGGTCAATAACAAAAGTTTCTCAATACTTTGTTATATACCCTTTGTTGGCAATGACACAGGTCAAACGTTTTCTGTAAGTCTTCACAAGGTTTTCACACACTGTTGCTGGTATTTTGGCCTATTCCTCCATGCAGATCTCCTCTAGAGCAGTGATGTTTTGGGGCTGTCGCTGGGCAACACTGACTTTCAACTCCCTCCAAAGATTTTCTATGGGGTTGAGATCTGGAGACTGGCTAGGCCACTCCAGGACCTTGAAATGCTTCTTACGAAGCCACTCATTCGTTGCCCGGGCGAAGAGCAGAAAATCACATTGTAGGATTTTTTATGAATTTATTTGCAAATTATGGTGGAAAATAAGTATTTGGTCACCTACAAACAAGCAAGATTTCTGGCTCTCACAGACCTGTAACTTCTTCTTTAAGAGGCTCCTCTGTCCAACACTCGTTACCTGTATTAATGGCACCTGTTTGAACTTGTTATCAGTATAAAAGACACCTGTCCACAACCTCAAACAGTCACACTCCAAATTCCACTATGGCCAAGACCAAAGAGCTGTCAAAAGGACACCAGAAACAAAATGGTAGACCTGCACCAGGCTGGGAAGACTGAATCTGCAATAGGTAAGCAGCTTGGTTTGAAGAAATCAACTGTGGGAGCAGTTATTAGGAAATGGAAGACATACAAGACCACTGATAATCTCCCTCGATCTGGGGCTCCACGCAAGATCTCACCCCGTGGGGTCAAAATGATCACAAGAATGGTGAGTAAAAATCCCAGAACCACACGGGGGGACCTAGTGAATGACCTGCAGAGAGCTGGGACCAAAGTAACAAAGCCTACCATCAGTAACACACTACGCCGCCAGGGACTCAAATCCTGCAGTGCCAGACGTGTCCCCCTGCTTAAGCCAGTACATATCCAGGCCCGTCTGAAGTTTGCTGGAGTGCATTTGGATGATCCAGAAGAGGATTGGGAGAATGTCATATGGTTAGATGAAACCAAAATATAACTTTTTGGTAAAAACTCAACTCGTCGTGTTTGGAGGACAAAGAATGCTGAGTTGCATCCAAAGAACACCATACCTACTGTGAAGCATGGGGGTGGAAACATCATGCTTTGGGGCTGTTTTTCTGCAAAGGGACCAGGACGACTGATCCGTGTAAAGGAAAGAATGAATGGGGCCATGTATCGTGAGATTTTGAGTGAAAACCTCCTTCCATCAGCAAGGGCATTGAAGATTAAACGTGGCTGGGTCTTTCAGCATGACAATGTGTCAGGGCGTGTGTAGGTGTGGTGTAGGAAATCAGATGCAGGACGCAGACGGTAGGTTCCAAAAGCTGTATTCCGACCCAAACACAGGCAACAGGGCAACAAAGCCCAACAGCTAAACTACGCCCAAGGCGTGTAGGCAAAATGCGCACAAACAGGTGCGACAAAATATGTTGTGCACGAAACAAGTGCAAACGAGCTCCAGCGCAGTGGAGAGAAATATGCTCAACCGAGCAAACACAACACTGACGAAAACAATCACACACAACACAAGACAAACACAACGAGAAACTTATAGGACACTAATCACGTAAAACAGAAACAGGTGTGACACAAACAGACAAAAGCAAACGAACATGAAAACATAAATCGGTGGCAGCTAGAATTCCGGAGACGACGAACGCCGAAGCCTGCCCGAACAAGGGAGAGAGGCAGCCTCGGCCGAAACCGTGACAGTACCCCCCCCTTGACGCGCGGCTCCAGACGCGCGCCGACTCCGGCCTTGGGGACGACCCGGAGGCCGCGGCGCAGGGCGCGTCGGATACCCCCGATGGAATTCCGTCAGGAGCGACGGGTCCAAGATGTCTCTCCTCGGCACCCAGCACCGCTCCTCCGGACCGTACCCCTCCCACTCCACTAGATACTGAAGACCCCCTCTCCGACGTCTAGAATCCAAGATGGATCTCACGGTGTACGCCGGTGCCCCCTCGATGTCCAACGGGGGCGGGGGGGGTCTCCAAGATCTCATGTTCTTGGAGCGGGCCTGCTACCACCGGCCTGAGAAGGGACACATGGAACGAGGGGTTAATACATTTATACTCCACTGGCAACTGTAATCTATAACAAACCTCGTTCAACCTTCTCAGGACTTTAAATGGCCCTACAAACCGCCGACCCAGTTTCCGACAGGGCAGGCGGAGGGGCAGGTTTCTGGCAGAGAGCCAGACTCGATCTCCAGGTGCGTACACAGGCCCCTCACTGCGGTGTAGGTCGGCGCTCGTCTTCTGTCGACGTATGGCACGCTGCAGATGGACGTGTGCAGCGTTCCACGTCTCCTCCGAGCGCCGCACCCACTCATCCACAGCGGGGGCCTCGATCTGGCTCTCATGCCATGGTGCCAGAACCGGCTGGTACCCTAAAACACACTGAAAAGGGGTTAGTTGGGTGGAGGAGTGGCGAAGAGAGTTCTGTGCCATCTCAGCCCAGGGCACATATCTCGCCCACTCCTCCGGCCGGTCCCGGCAGTATGTTCTGAGAAACCTGCCCACATCCTGGTTTACGCGTTCCACCTGCCCATTACTCTCCGGGTGGTAACCCGAGGTGAGACTCACCGAGACCCCCAACCGCTCCATAAAAGCTCTCCAGACTCTGGAGGTGAATTGGGGACCCCGGTCAGCCACAATGTCCTCGGGCACCCCGTAGTGCCGGAACACATGAGTGAATAGTGCTTCGGCGGTTTGTAGGGCAGTAGGAAGACCCGGCATGGGGAGCAAACGACAGGCCTTAGAGAACCGATCCACAACGACCAGGAGTGTAGTATTCCCTTGAGAGAGGGGAAGGTCAGTTATAAAATCCACCGAGAGGTGGGACCATGGTCGTTGTGGAACGGGCAGGGGTAGTAACTTACCCCTAGGCAGATGTCTAGGCGCCTTACTGGGCGCACACCGAGCAGGAGGAAACATAAACCCTCACATCCCTGGCCAACGTAGGCCACCAATATTTGGCACTAAGACAGTGCACTGTCCGGCCGATACCCGGATGTCCAGAGGAGGGTGACGTGTGAGCCCAATAGATCAATCGATCCCGACACTCGAGCGGAACATACTTCCGACCCTCCGGGCATTGTGGTGGACTAGGGTCGGTGCGTAATGCCCGCTCGAGCTCAGAATCGAGCTCCCACACCACCGGTGCCACTAGACACGACTCCGGCAGTATGGGAGTGGGCTCCACGGACCTCTCCTCCCCGTCATACCGCCGAGACAGTGCATCTGCCTTACCGTTTTGTGACCCAGGGATGTAGGTGATCTTAAAAGAGAAACGGGTCAAAAACATACTCCATCTAGCCTGTCGAGGGTTCAGCCTCCTCGCTGCCCGGATGTACTCCAGGTTACGGTGGTCCGTCAAAATGAGGAAAGGGTGTTGAGCCCCCTCAAGCCAGTGCCTCCACACCTTAAGGGCTTGGACCACAGCTAACAGCTCCCTGTCCCCTACGTCATAATTTCGCTCCGCCGGGCTGAGCTTCTTGGAATAGAAGGCAACGGGGCGGAGTTTAGGTGGCGCGCCTGACCGTTGGGACAGCACGGCGCCAATACCGGCTTCAGACGCGTCCACCTCTACCTGAAATGGTAAAGAGGGATCCGGATGCGCCAGCACCGGAGCCGAGGTGAACAGGTCCTTCAGCTTCTTAAAAGCCCTGTCCGCCTCGACTGACCACTGCAGACGCACCGGGCCCCCCTTTAAGAGAGACGTGATGGGAGCTGCCACCTGCCCAAAACCCCGGATAAACCTCCGGTAGTAATTCGCAAACCCCAAAAACTGCTGCACCTCTTTCACAGTGGTTGGTGTTTGCCAATTACTCACGGCTGACACTCGGTCTACCTCCATCTTCACCCCTGACGCAGACAACTGATACCCCAAGAAGGAAATCGACTCCTGGAAAAACAGACACTTCTCTGCCTTCACATACAGGTCGTGCTCCACCAGCCTCCGCAACACTCTGCGCACCAGGGCCACATGCTCGACACGGGTAGGTGAGTACACGAGGATGTCATCTATGTACACCACCACTCCCTGTCCCTGCATGTCCCTGAAGATCTCATCCACGAATGATTGGAAAACTGACGGAGCATTCATCAACCCGTATGGCATGACGAGATACTCGTAATGGCCCGAGGTGGTACTAAAGGCTGTTTTCCATTCATCATCCTTCCTGATGCGCACCAAGTTGTACGCGCTCCTGAGATCTAATTTCGTGAAGAAACGCGCCCCATGCAACGACTCAGTCATGGTCGCAATCAGCGGGAGTGGATAACTATACTTCACCGTAATCTGATTGAGACCACGGTAGTCGATGCACGGACGCAACCCCCCATCCTTCTTCTTCACGAAAAAGAAACTCGAGGACGCGGGGGAAGTGGACGGCCGTATGTATCCTTGTCTCAGTGATTCGTCTATGTAAACCTCCATAGCTTTCTTCTCCTCCTGAGACAGAGGATACACATGACTCCGTGGGAGCGCAGCTCCTGCCTGAAGGTCTATCGCACAATCCCCCTGCCTATGGGGTGGCAATCGCGTCGCCCTCGCCTTACTAAACGCGATAGCCAGATCCCCATACTCAGGTGGAATGTGCAATGCGGGCACCTGGTTTGGACTTTCCACCGAGGTAGCCCCTAAGGAAACGCCCAAACATCTACCCACACACTGAGCAGACCACTCCTTCAGAGCCCTCTCCTGCCACGAAATAACGGGGTTATGGGTACTTAACCAGGGCATGCCCAGCACCACCGGATACGCAGGAGAGTCAATCAGAAACAGTTGTATTATCTCCTGATGACTCCCCTGCGCACACATCCTAAGTGGCGCCGTGACCTCCCTGATTAAGCCCGTACCCAACGGACGACTATCTAGGGCGTGAACGGGAAAAGGAACTTCCACAGGGAGAAGGGGAAACCCTAACTCTAAACAAAACTTCTTATCAATGAAATTCCCAGCCGCGCCTGGGAATGAGGTGCCACCTGCGGAAAACACACAGGCATACAAAAATGGGCAACAGTGAGCTCTGGGTGAGTGGGGCGCCTACTCACCTGGAGGGAATCCCCAGTGCGGGACCTGTCGTCATCTCCCCGAGGAGGCCATCCCCAGCACCTAGCCGCGGTGTGTCCTCCCCGACCACAGTTGGTGCAGTGGATGGACCCCCCACTCTGCCGACTCCTCCTACCTCTAGCGCCAGCGCCCCCGAGCTCCATAGGACACGGCTCGGGTGCGCTGGAGGATGGAATGGACGGACCCCCCTCAGGACGTCCGCGGGTAGCCAATAGGTTATCCAACCTAATTGACATGTCGACCAGCTGGTCGAAAGTGAGACTGGCGTCCCGACAGGCCAGCTCCCGACGGACGTCCTCTCTGAGGCTACATCGGTAGAGATCGATGAGGGCCCGATCATTCCACCCTGCATCTGCCGCTAGAGTACGGAATTCGAGTGCGAATTCCTGGGCACTCCTCCTCCCCTGCCTAAGGAAGACCAGACGCTCCCCCCGCCGCTTTCCCCTCCGGGGGATGGTCGAACACCGCCCTAAAGCGGCGGGAGAACTCGGTGTAGGTAATGGTCGTGGCGTCGATCTTCCTCCACTCCGCGTTGGCCCACTCCAACGCTTTACCGGCCAGGCAGGAGATTAGGGCGGACACGCTCTCATGCCCTGAAGGTGCCGGATGGACTGTGGCCAGGTACAGCTCGACCTGGAGCAAGAACCCCTGACACCCAGCCGCTGTCCCGTCGTAAGCCCTCGGGAGAGATAGACGGACTCCTCGATGTCCCGGTGCTGGAACGGGCGGGCTGGCCGATGGTGCTGGCTGGGCGGGCGGTGGTGGAGGCGAACCCCAGCCTCGGAGTGTGGAAATAACCTCCTGCAGGGCGTTCCCCATCTGCAGGAGTTGCTCCTGCTGATCCCGAACCTGGGCTTCCAGTCTTGTCTGGGCTGCTTCTGCTCCTGCTGATTCCATGGGTGGTGTGTGATTCTGTCAGGGCGTGTGTAGGTGTGGTGTAGGAAATCAGATGCAGGACGCAGACGGTAGGTTCCAAAAGCTGTATTCCGACCCAAACACAGGCAACAGGGCAACAAAGCCCAACAGCTAAACTACGCCCAAGGCGTGTAGGCAAAATGCGCACAAACAGGTGCGACAAAATATGTAGTGCACGAAACAAGTGCAAACGAGCTCCAGCGCAGTGGAGAGAAATATGCTCAACCGAGCAAACACAACACTGACGAAAACAATCACACACAACACAAGACAAACACAACGAGAAACTTATAGGACACTAATCACGTAAAACAGAAACAGGTGTGACACAAACAGACAAAAGCAAACGAACATGAAAACATAAATCGGTGGCAGCTAGAATTCCGGAGACGACGAACGCCGAAGCCTGCCCGAACAAGGGAGAGAGGCAGCCTCGGCCGAAACCGTGACACAATGATCCCAAACACACCGCCCGGGCAACGAAGGAGTGGCTCCGTAAGAATCATTTCAAGGTCCTGGAGTGGCCTAGCCAGTCTCCAGATCTCAACCCCATAGAAAATCATTGGAGGGAGTTGAAAGTTCGTGTTGCCCAGCGACAGCCCCAAAACATCACTGCTCTAGAGGAGATCTGCATGGAGGAATGGGCCAAAATACCAGCAACAGTGTGTGAAAACCTTGTGAAGACTTACAGAAAACGTTTGACCTGTGTCATTGCCAACAAAGGGTATATAAGAAAGTATTGAGAAACTTTTGTTATTGACCAAATACTTATTTTCCACCATAATTTGCAAATAAATTCATAAAAAATCCAACAATGTGATTTTCTGGAGATTTTTTTTTCTCATTTTGTCTGTCATAGTTGACGTGTACCTATGATGAAAATTACAGGCCTCTCTCATCTTTTTAAGTGGGAGAACTTGCACAATTGGTGGCTGACTAAATACTTTTTTCCCCCACTGTATGTCAGAATATCACCTGTAGCACAGCACAATAACCAGAGTAGCCTGCCCGGCATGAGTGAAAAACTAACCAGCGGGAAAGTGGCCTCCCTGTGCTTTGTAGCCATAGAACACATCCAAATTTCACCAAGAGGAGGTGATATCGTACGTAAACTAAAACAAAAGAGGCATTCTGGCAGTACTCCTTAGACATTGTGGATCCAAAGGGGCTAAACAATGATTTTTCACTGTCCTTGCCTTGATTTTTTGGGATCTCTGTGTCTCCAGATTTTCAGACATCCAAATATCACCTATGTATATTTTGACATGGCCTATTGATTAATGAGACACTATTTCTCTTTTTATTTTGTGCTATAATTTGCCATTTACCTTGAAACATATTATCATTATAATTGTTTTATATTGTTGTGTCTCAATGAGCCACTAGGCTAGAAATAGGAGCTGTGCAATGGTCAGGTAACCCTGAGGAAGACGTCAGCTTGACGTCAACGTCAGTCACCGGTCAGCATCCTGTACAATGGATTAAAGTGAGCATTAAGAAATCAATCTCTTTTGTTGAGTGCTCCAACTGCGTTTTACCTCAAATTAGTCCTTTTGGAAGTTTTTCTTGGTAAGCCATCAGACTGTTAAACAGTCACCGCTAGCCGGCCTCCGTACAGTGCCCTGCCCTGAACCTTAGTCACTGTTATAGCCGGCTACCACCCGCTGCACTACCCTGCACATTAGAGACTGCTGCCCTATGTACATAGTAATTGAACACTGGTCACTTTAATAATGTTTACATACTGTTTTACCCACTTTATACAGTGCATTCGGAAAGTATTCAGACCCATTGACTTTTTCCACATTTTGTTACGTTACAGCCTTATTCTAAAATTGATTAAATAGTTTTTTTCCCCTTAACAATCTATACACAATACCCCATAATGACAAAGCAAAATGCGTTTTAGTGAAATTTTTAAGAAAAATAAATAAATAAATAACTGAAATATTACATTTACATACAATACCAGTCAAAAGTTTGGACACACATACTCATTCCAGGGTTTTTCTTTATTTTGTACTATTTTCTATATTGTAGAATAATAGTGAAGGCTTCAAAACGATGAAATAACACATATGGAATCATGTAGTAATCAAAAAAGTGTTTGAAGAATCTCAAATATAAAATATAATTTGATTTGTTTAACACTTTTTTGGTTACTACATGATTCCATATGTGTTATTTAATAGTTTTGATGTCTTCACTATTATTCTACAATGTAAAACATAGTAAAAATAAAGAAAAACCCTTGAATGAGTAGGTGTGTCCAAACTTTTGACTGGTAGTGTATATATAGTGCCAGTCAAAAAAAATTGGACACACCTACTCGTTGCAGGGTTAAATTAAATAATCAAAACGTGTTGTTTATGCTTTACATACCAAGTGTTGTCATCGATTCCTTGTAGAGAAGCCACACCGCTGCTTTTGTGACATGAGATGGCAGCAGCTTTCCACCAAAGTGTTTGTGTCCTCGGTGGTGTCCTGGTAATACTATTGCATTATCCTCTGCGTAGTTGTTGATGAAGTTCACAACTCGCTGCAAGTCGTCATGCTTCTTGTTTCTCATGGTCTGAGAGTCCTTTAGCGGGCTGTCATGTGCCTTTTACTAAGGAGTGGCTTCCGTCTGGCCACTACCATAAATTCCTGATTGGTGGAGTGCTGCAGAGATGGTTGTCCTTCTGGAAGGTTCTCCCATCTCCACAGAGGAACTCTGGAGCTCTGTCAGAGTGACCATCTGCCTCCCTGAGGCCACTGTGTTCTTGGGGACCTTCAATGCTGCAGACATTTTTTGGTACCCTTCCCCAGATCTGTCACTCGACACAATATTGTCTTGGAGCTTTACGGACAATTCCTTCGACCTCATGGCTTGGTGTTTGCTCTGACATGCACTATCAACTGTGGGACCTTATGTAGACAGGTGTGCCTTTCCAAATCATGTCCAATCAATTGAATTTACCACAGGTGAACTCAAATCAAGTTGTAGAAACATCTCAAGGATGATCAATGGAAACAGGATGCACCTGAGCTCAATTTCGAGTCTTCAAGCAAAGGGTCTGAATATTTATGTAAATAAGGTGTTTCAGTTTTTTTTTAAACCTGTTTTCGTCATTATGGGGTATTGTGTGTAGATTGATAAGGAACAATTTTTATTTAATCAATTTTAGAATAATGCTGTAACGTAACAAAATGTGGAATGTCAAGGGGTCTGAATACTTTCCGAATGTACTGTACATGTATGAATCACATGGAGCATATTATATCGGTACGTACACAGTTCATACACAAAATCCTACTAAATTAGTTTCCTGCTAATCAGGCAACAGAATTTAACATTGGCAGTTGGCACAACACACTAGATAACCCGGTACGTTTTTCACTGTTTTCTTTAGGAGCTGCAATCCGGTTAAGTAGCACGCTATGCCTGCCTCATTTCATCTGATTAAAGCCCAGCAAGAGAGAGACTCTCTCTATTTCATGGCCTGCCAACAAATGCTTTCACAGGCTACCATACACCCCTCACAAACACACACACATCCCAATCTACCATCAGTACCACCACCACCACCCTCTTCACAGTCAGGTGACTTTTTCACCCCCTTGATCCTTTGTATAAAAGGTGTTTATGTCCCGCTGTGAGTACCAGCAGGATTAGAGGCCTTGTGGTGAAAGGACTTTGATCACCTCATTCTTCTTCTCTCCAAACCCACAGCTACAGGCTACAGGCTGGGGTAAAAACACACACCATCTTCCACTGTACGCAGAACTGTTTTATTTAGCCTCTTCCCTGTATATTAAAGCTGCATTCTGGGATTCTGAAAACAGAATGCCAGCCTCTCCACTTGTTTTGGACTGACAATCCATGACATCCAAGTGATCGCTTTAACCATATTTTGACGCTATACATTGGGTACACATCTATAATTGAAATGACCATTGAACAGCTTCCTAAAGCTTAGACTGTAGCTTTAATTGGGAGCGAGAACCAGGGAAAAGAGGCAAAGCGGCTTATCTTATCTCTCCTCCAAGTTGTTTAATGAGGAGCTTGTCTGGGAGGTTGAGTGTTGTTGGCTTCCAGCGCCTTCTGGGTTGAGTTGTGGCTAGTGATCCAGGGAATGGGTGGTGTGAGTAAGGCAACCACCCCAACCCCTCCCTGCTCTCCATCATGCCTGACTCCTGTGGGAGAGAGGGCAGAAGTAATAGGCATCACAAGAAAATGAGGAAACGTTGCCAGGGAGAGCTTTATCAAATTAGTTAACATTTCACCATATAGTGTCGTTTTTAAAATGATTAAGACTGAACTGAAGGACCCCTATTCAAACCCTCCTCCATCTTTCTCTCTCGCTCTCTCCCCCTCTCTTATTTATCGCAATCTCTCCATGATCTGTTTCTTTCACATTCAAAAGGCTTTATTGGCATGACAAAATTACAAAGCAACATTTCTGAACAATTCTCTCTATTCTCTGTCTCTCTATGGGGCACATCTCATAAAAACTACATTGAAAAGTTTGTTGTTTTATTAAATTAATCATTTGAAATGTCATGGTATATTATCCTTGTAGTATGTAACAATGTCACATGGATATTTTAATTACATTTAGAAAAAGCATTTTCAGTGTTAAAATAGGCCTATCATTTTTTGGCCGAGCAAAAATGAATTGCCTACTCACACAAGTATTCGAGTACTAATGTCTGTTCGGATATTGGAATAACCTTGCACATCCCTGTTCTCTAGGTACGCCATAATGTGTGGAATCATGACAGAGTATGAGACTGTGCAGAACAGGATAAAGAATGGCTACATCTTCAAAGTAAGTGATTTTCTGACAGTCTACACACAAAGCTATATCTTCATGTGGTCACCGATTCAAGTGTTTGTTTTGTCTGTACTTGAACTATGTCAGACCTTACCTACAGTGCCTTCAGAAAGTATTCACACCCCTTTACTTTTTCCACATTTTCTTGTGTTACAGCCTGAATTTAAAATTGATTACATTTAGATGTGTCACTGGCCTACACACATTACCCCATAATGTCAAAGTAGAATTATGTTTGTTGACATTTTTACAAATTCATTAAAAATGAAAAGTTGAAATGTCTGGAGTTGATAAGAATTCAAAACCTTTGTTATGACAAGCCTACATAAGCTTCAGGAGTAAACATGTGCTTAACAAGTCACATAATAAGTTGCACAATTTTTGAATGACTACCTCATCTCTCTACCCCACACATACAATTATCTCGAGCAGTCGAGCAGTGAATTTCAAACACAGATTGAAGCACAAAGACCAGGGTGGTTTTCTAATGCCTCGCAAAGAAGGGCACTATTGGTAGATAATAAATACATTTTTAAAAAGCAGGCGTTGAATATCTCTTTGAGCATAGTGAAGTTATTAATTACACTTTGGATGGTGTATCAATATACCCAGTCTCTACAAACATGCAGGCGTCCTTCCTAACTCAGTTGCCAGAGAGGAAGAAAACCGCTCAGGGATTTCACCATGAGGCCAATGGTGACTTTAAAACAGTTACAGAGTTTAATGGCTGTGATAGGAGAAAACTGAAGATGGATCAAGAACTTTGTAGTTACTCAACAATACTAACATAAATAACATAGTGAAAAGAAGGAAGCCTGTACTTAATAAACATATTCCAAAACATGCATCCTGTTTGCAATAAGGCAGTAAAGTAAATGCTAAAATAAATGTGGCTAAGAAATTAACTGTAGGACCTGAATACAAAGTGTTATGTTTGGGGCAAACGCAACACATCACTGAGTACCACTCTTCATATTGTCAAGCATAGTGGTGGCTGCATCATGTTATGGGTATGCTTGTCATTAGCAAGGAATAGGGAGTTTTTTGGGGGGGTGTAAAAATAAACGGAATAGAGCTAAGCACAGGCAAAGTCCTAGAGGAAAACCTGGTTCAGTCTGCCTTCCAACAGACACTGGGAGACAAATTCACCTTTCAGCAGGACAATAACCTAAACCACAAGGCCAAATATACACTGGAGTAGCTTACCAAGACTACATTGAATGTTCCTGAGTGGCCTAGTTACAGTTTTGAATTAAATCAACTTGAAAATCTATGGCAAGACTTGAAAATGGCTGTCTAGCAATGATCAACAACCAACTTGACAGAGCTTGAAGAATTTTTAAAAGAATAATGTGCAAATATTGTAAAATCCAGGCGTGCAAAGCTCTTAGAGACTTAGCCAGAAAGTCTCACAGCTGTAATCGCTGCCAAATGTGATTCTATTATGTATTGACTCAGGGGTGTGAATACCTATGTAAATGAGATATTTCTGTATTTCATTTTCAAGAAATGTGCACAAATGTCTAAACATGTTTTGTCTTTGTCATTATGGGGTATTGTGTGTAAATGGGTGAAAAAATAATAATATTGAATCCATTTTGAATTCAGGCTGTAACACAACAAAATGTGGAATAAGTCAAGGGGTATAAATACTTTCTGAAGGCACTGTACATTAGCAACACCTGAGGTGATGGCAGGCACACAGATTGATTGGTGGAATTAATAATAATAAGAGAGGGTAACTGAGGTCAGGGCTTGTACTTTTCCAGAACCTCCCCTGTAGTCTGTCACTGTCAGTGTTTAGTCCTATCTGTGTCTAGAGGGTCCTCCCATCGCCACAAGTTGACAGCCAGAATCATCACCCTCTGTCTTATTTAGGTCAGGTGTTGTTCAAATTAAACATAGAAAGTGTTCCTATACACACAGTTGTGGACAGCACATCTATACACTGACTGCTATACATGTCTTAGCCTTATTGCCCGTGGGCTATTCTGATCACTCCCCTCACTAACACCCAGATGTAAGGGTTGCATAACGGCAGAGACTGGGGCAACAGCACGTAGCATTTATCTTACCTGTCAGTTGCTTCACAAACTGTTTACCTGCAAAGCCTCGTACGGTGTGGGGGTAGAGGGAGAAGGGGGCGGACATGAAGAACATGCAATGTGTGGAGAGGGGGAGTGAGTGGGAGAGAAAGAGAGAGTGGGAGGAGAGTTGGAGGGAGACAGAAAGTGAGCGAGAGGGTAGAGAAAGAGCGAAAGAGACTGATTTTGCGATGGAGTGGAAATGAACAGGGGGAGGGTAAAAGAAGAGGGTTGCATGACAAATAGGAGCTTGTTGTACATTCATGTAAGTGTGTGTGAGAGATATTTGTGAAGTAGTAGTGGGTAGATGGGTACGTCGAGAAGGACCGATCAGGTAAAGGAGAATGTGTGGTCTAATGAATGAACACTTAATGCTGTCGGTCCTCTTCTGTTTTCTCCCTCCCTTGCTCACAGGATCATTTGGATAAGGCCATCGAGCTGAAACCACAGGATCCTATGTCTTACTACCTGCTGGGCCGCTGGTGCTATGCTGTATGTGACACACACACACACACCCACCCTAACCCAAGTCAACCATACAGTGAATAATACACTCCCTGAAAAGTGGTCAGTTTAGAAAATTAAACAGGTGTCATTAGGGGTGTGAATATTTATGTAAATGTAATATTTCTGTATTTAATTTTTAATACATTTGCTAAAATTTCTAAAAACATGTTTTCACTTTCTCATTATGGGGGATTGTGTGTATATGGGTGTGATTTTTTTTTTTTTTATCCATTTTGAATTCAGGCTGTAACACAACAATGTGGAATAAGTCAAGGGGTATGAATACTTTCTGAAGGCACTGTACATCATTTACACACACACACAAACACGCACAGAGAGAAGTCAGCTCAGAGGCCCAGCTCATGAGCTCCATCAGCAGCAGATTTTAATTTAGAGTTGAATGTGTTTATGCGACAAATGTTAGTGCATTGAATTGTATTCTCTAATCAAACCGAATCGCACTCAATAATTTCAAAGTCAAACGTATCGTTCCTGTATCGTATCGGAGCCCATGTATCTAGGTACGTATCGAATCGTCTTGAAAGGGAAAGATGCACATCCCTAATTCTCACTGTTTGTCGTGATGGGTTGGTGTGTGTTAAGATTAGAAACTGCTTGGTAGATTATATTGTCTCCAAATCATGAGTGACAGGGCCTTGGCAACAGTATTTTGGAAGTGTCTTTGTATAGTGAAAAATAAAAAAAAATCTGATCCTTTACTCTGCTGACATATCCCCTGACTTACAGTGCATTCGGAAAGTATTCAGACCCTTTGACCTTTTCCACATTTTGTTACATTACAGGTAATTTTAAAATTGATTAAATAGTTTTTTCCCTCAATCTAAAGACAATACCCCACAATGACAAAGCTAAAATGTATTCAGACACTTTACTCAGTACTTTGTTAAAGCACCTTTGGCAGCAATTACAGCCTTGAGTCTTCTTGGGTATGACGCTACAAGCTTGGAACACCTGTATTTGGGGAGTTTCTCCCATTCTCCTCTGCAGATCCTCTCAAGTTCTGGCAGGTTGGATGGGGATCGTCGCTCCACAGCTATTTTCAGGTCTCTCCAGAGATGTTCGATTGGGTTAAAGTCCAGGCTCTGGCTGGGCCACTCAAGGACATTCAGAGACTTGTCCTGAAGCCACTCCTGCGTTGTCTTGGCTGTGTGCTTAGGTTCGTTGTCCTATTGGAAGGTGAACCTTTGCCCCAATATGAGGTTTTCATTAAGGATCTCGCTGTACTTTGCTCCGTTCATCTTTCCCTCGATCCTGACTAGTCTCCCCGTCCCTGCCGCTGAAAAACATCCCAGAGAATGATGCTGCCACCACCATGCTTCACCGTAGGATGGTGCCAGGTTTCCTCCAGACGTGACGCATGGCATTCAGGCCAAAGAGTTCAATCTTGGATTCATCAGACCAGAGAATATTTTGTCTCATGGTATGAGAGTCCTTTAGGTGCCTTTTGGCAAACTCCAAGCGGGCTGTCATGTGCCTTTTACTGAGTAGTGGCTTCCGTCTGGCCACTCTACTATAAAAACCTGATTAGTGGAGTGCTGCAGAGATGGTTGTCCTTCTGGAAGGTTCTCCCATCTCCACAGAGGAACTCTGGACCTCTGTCAGAGTGACCATAGGGTTCTTGGTCACTTCCCTGACCAAGGCCCTTCTCCCCAGATCAGCTCAGTTTGGCCGGGCGGCCAGCTCTAGGAAGAGTCTTGGTGGTTCCAAACTTCTTCCATTTAAGAATGATGGAGGCCACTGTGTTCTTGGGGACCTTCAATGCTGCAGACATTTTTTGGTACCCTTCCCCAGATCTGTGCCTCGACACAATCCTGTCTCACACCTCTACAGACAATTCCTTTGACCTCATGGCTTGGTTTTTGCTCTGACATGTACTGTCAACTGTGGGACCTTATATAGACAGGTGTGTCCCTTTCCAAATCATGTCCAATCATTTGAATTAACCACAGGTGGACTCCAATAAAGTTGTAGAAACATTTTAATGATGATCAATGGAAACAGGTTGCACCTGAGCTCAATTACGAGTCTCATAGCAAAGGGACTGAATACCTACTTAAATAAGGTATTTCTGTTTTTTATTTTTAATACATTTGCAAACAATTCTAAGAACCTGTTTTGGCTTTTTCATTATCGGGTGTTGTGTGTAGATTGATGAGGATAATTTAATCAATTTTAAAATAAAGCTATAACTTAACAAAATGTGGAGAAATGTCAAGAGGTCTGAATACTTTCTGAATGCACTGTAAATGCTACTTTCACAGACTTAAATGCTACTTTACCCACCATGTTTAAATGCTTTTCTGGTTTGCCATGTTCTGAAACAGTTTATACATTGGTTCTGTTCAGGTGGCTCAGTTGTCGTGGATTGAGAGGAAAGTTGCTGCTACATTGTTTGGAGAGCCTCCAAGTGCCACGGTCCAAGATGCTCTGAAGAACTTCCTCAAGGTATTGTTATTCTCCACGCTACCATGGATTGCAGTTCAGCGCAAAAGTGTTTGACACAGTATGTATTCATTGCTCTTCCCTCAACCGTTATCAGAAATCAGTCCGTAGATCAGCATGTTTCTCCGCGATCGCTACTAATGTTTGGATCAGCTGAGCGCAGCAGAAGCTGACGGGAGGCTAATGCACTGACTCGCAGTAGAATAGGCAGCGCTAGCTGCTTCTTCAAAACGCGTCCAGAATATCTCTAAAACTAATAGCATTGTATTTGGGTCAAATCATTCCGTAAGTTCTAGACCTCAGCTGAATCCGGTAATGAATGGTGTGGCTGTTCAACAAGTTGAGGAGACTAAATTACTTGGTGTTACCTTAGATTGTAAACTGTCATGGTCAAAACATATAGATTCAATGGTTGTAAAGCTGGGGAGAGGTCTGTCTGTAATAAAGAGATGCTCTGCTTTTTTGACACCATACTCCGCAAAGCATGCAGGCTGTAGTTTGATCTTATCCTGATTATTGTCCAGTCATATGGTCAAGTGCTGCAAAGAAAGACCTAGTTAAGCTGCAGCTGGCTCAGAATAGAGTGGCACGTCTTGCTTTTCATTGTAATCAGGTGCTAATATTAATACTATGCATGTCAGTCTCTCTTGACTAAGAGTTGAGTAAAGACTTCTTCTTATTTTTATAAGAAACATTGTGTTGGAAATTCCAAATTATTTGCATAGTCAACTTACACACAGCACTGACACACACACTTACCCCATCAGACATGCCACCAGGGGTCTTTTCACAGTCCCCAGGTCCAGAACAAATTCAAGGAAACGTACAGTATTATACAGAGCCATGAGTGCATGGAACTCCCTTCCATCTTATATACTGTAGCGCAAGTGAACAGCAATCCTGGTTTCAAAAAACAAATAAACAACACCTCACGGCACAACGCCTCTCCCACATGTGACCTACTTGTTGTGTGTTTACTGACATGTATGTGTAACTGATAGATACGCACACACACTACATGTTAATGTTTTTAAATGTACAGTACCAGTCAAAAGTTTGGACACACCTACTCATTCAGGGGTTTTTCTTTATTTTTACTATTTTTTACATTGTAGAATAATAGTGAAGACATCAAAACTATGATATAACACATATGGAATCATGTAGTAACCAAAAGTGTTAAACAAATCAAAATATATTTTATATTTGAGATTCTTCAAATAGCCACCCTTTGCCTTGATGACAGCTTTGCACACACTTGGCATTCTCTCAACCAGCTTCATGAGGAATGCTTTTCCAACAGTCTTGAAGGAGTTCCCACATATGTTGAGCACTTGTTGGCTGCTTTTCCTTCACTGCGGTCCAACTCATCCCTAACCATCTTAATTGGGTTGAGGTCGGGTGATTGTGGAGGCCAGGTCATCTGATGCAGCACTTCATCACTCTCCTTAGACAAATAGCCCTTACACAGCCTGGAAGTGTGTTTTGGGTCATTGTCCTGTTGAAAAACAAGTGCAAACCAGATTGGATCGTGTATCTCTGCAGAATGCTGTGGTAGCCATGCTGGTTAAGTGTGCCTTGAATTCTAAATAAATCACAGAGTGTCACCAGCAAAGCACCATCACACCTCCTCCTCCATGCTTCACGGTTGGAATCACACATGCGGAGATCATCCGTTCACCTACTCTGTGTCTCAGAAAGACACGGCGGTTCTCACATTTTGACTCATTAGACCAAAGGATAGATTTCCACCGGTCTAATGTCCATTGCTTGTGTTTCTTGGCCCAAGCAAGTCTCTTCCTCTTATTGGTGTCCTTTAGTAGGGGTTTCTTTGCAGCAATTCGACCATAAAGGCCTGATTCACACAATCTCCTCTGAACAGTTGATGTTGATGTGTCTGTTACTTGAACTCTGTGAAGCATTTATTTGGGCTGCAATCTGAGGTGCAGTTAACTCTAATGAACTTATCCTCTGCAGCAGAGGTAACTCTGGGTCTTCCATTCCTGTGGGGGTGATCATGAGAGCCAGTTTCATCATAGCGCTTGAAGGTTTTTGCGACTGCACTTGAAGAAACTTTCAAAGTTATTGGAATTTTCCAGATTGACTGACCTTCATGTCTTAATGGATACGCACATGACTGTAAGTCGCTTTGGATAAAAGCGTCTGCTAAATGGCATATTATTTATTATTATTATTAAAGTAATGATGGACTGTCATTTCTCTTTGCTTATTTGAGCTGTTCTTGCCATAATATGGACTTGATCTTTTACTAAATAGGGCTATCTTCTATATACCAACCCTACCTTGTCACAACACAACTGATTGGCTCAAATGCATTAAGAAGGAAATAAATTCCAGAAATGTACTTTTAATAAGGCACATCTGTTAATTGAAATGCATTCCAGGTGACTACCTCATGAAGCTGGTTGAGAGAATGCCAAGCGTGTGCAAAGCTGTCATCAAGGCAAAGGGTGGCTACTTTGAAGAATCTCAAATATTTTGATTTGTTTAACACTTTTTTTGGTTACTACATGATTCCATATGTGTTATTTCATAGTTTTGATGTTATCATTAGTGCTCCCGAGTGGCGCAGCGGTCTAAGGCACTGCATCTCAGTGCTTGAGGTGTCACTACAGACCCCCTGGTTCGATTCCAGGCTGTATCACAAACGGACGTAATTGGGAGTCCCATAGGGCTCACAATTGGCCCAGCGTCGTCCGGGTTTGGCCAGTGTAGGCCGTCATTGTAAATAAGAATTTGGTCTTAACTGACTTGCCTAGTTCAATAAAGGTCAAATAAAAAATTAAAATCACTATTATTCTACAATGTAGAAAATGGCAAAAATAAAGAAAAACCCTTGAATGAGTAGGTGTGTCCAAACTTTTGGTTGGTACTGTATGTACATTGTAAAGTGTTTTGTCTGTAAAGTATTTTTCGTTATGTGTCGGACCCCAGTAAGACTAGCTGTCTCCATTGGTGTTGGCTAATGGGGACCCTAATCAAATCACTCATTGTGATAAAATAATGTTGCTAGAGTAGCTTGCTAGGTAGCTAGCTTATGGAGGAAGCATTTGGTGTTCAGCATTGAGTGTGTGCAGTAGGTTAGCTTCCTATTCATTTCATATGAAGTGACTGGCTTAGCGCTAGCAGACTATTGATGTGGGCAAATTTAAGCTAGTTTTCGTGCACATTGTCAAACTCCGGAAATACTGCTCCTTCAAGCACCAAACTTCTTAGCTAGATGTAAAATTGAGCGACTAAGAAAAATAGTCTAAAGCAATTACTGATTTATTGTTTTATCTTATATTAATTCTGACTTTTTGAGGGTGAAATTGGGTTCATTAGGCAAAGTCACCTAGGTAATACAGTATTTTCCAATGTTATGACAGCCCGTTGTAGCCAGACTACTTTTGATCTATCCCATTACCCTTTGCGAGATACAAGACAGATCAGTGCAGGCGTAATCGTTGTGCTATATGACGTAAGACAATGAGTGTTAGTTGGCGTAAAGCGTGTCAGGCCTTGCAAATGTACTTCACCAGTACATTTCTCATTTAAAAGTTACTTTTATAGTTCTATAATGTGTACTTTAACCTGTTATAATCATACAATCTTTCTTGCTTTAACTCATCTTGCAAAGCCATAGGCTCTACTGTCTTTCATGCGCTCTCTCCAAACCATTAAAACATGTAGCGCACAGCAGCCTATTTGTTTTGTGTTGAGTCAGAATTTGCCCAGAGGTCGCTTCTGAACCCAGATTCAAAGACCAAACCCCAAGTATTTAAAGAGGCATAATCTGTGTTCACACTTTTCACGTTTATATAAAGATAAATGAAATTGCTCCTGGCCAAGATTGCTTCTGGCCTGCTGCATGCATCTTCCTCATGTCTTGTGTATCTCACCCATCAATTTGATTTAAGTGGTTGACTCTGTTGTAACTTGTTGCTCCTGGCCGCAAGGACTGGTAGAGGGTGTCTAGCTTCAACAAACACATCCTGCTGAGTTATGCAACATGTGCCACAACAGCCAAGTACACAAACAGTGGCTACCCACTACCTAGTGCCCAGGTGTTGTCATAGTACTCTTGTCACTGTATGATTAATGCTAAGGCTATATAGGGTCAGAATAAAAGGTTGAGTCAAGTGAAATATACAGTACATAGACAGATATTAATTTGTGTCTATATATCCATTGCTAGAGGTACAATAATGCTATGGTTAGTCCTGTCTATGATTGTGTGTGCTGAGCAAGTTCAGTTGCACTCATTTGCCCAAATCGTGTACCAACGTCATACCTGTCCTGGACTGATTTTATGCAATTAGAACATAAACTGTGAGTCTGTGTTTTTGTCAGTGGTAGTGTTTTTGGTGCATGTTCAATGGAATAATACATCCATGTTTTCTAGCTTTATGGTAACACTTAACTCCAACATCGTCGCGTCCGAGGGCGGAATTTGTGCTTCCAAGTCTAAGACTGGGCTACCTTTTCACGAGAGTTTGATTCCAAATCATACTGGAATCAGGGATGGATCCCCTTAGTGCTGACACATTACAGAGATTCTGGACAAGGAGAATACATTTTGTCCCATCCTCGGGAAGCTGAACTCTAGAAAGAGTTGATTATCAGCAAGTGCAGTGTTCTCGTGTTTTTCTTATATTTTCATTATTTCACAGGTGGAGGAGATCAGTCCCAAGTACTCCAAATTAAACTTTGTGTTTTTAGCCAAGGTAAGTTGGGCTGCCAATGTTCTTGTTATGTGTGCATCTTATATTCATCTATATACAGTAATCCAATGGCTTTTTATGTGCACCAGTGATGATGTTGATTATGATGAGGAATTTGATTTTGATTGGTCAGTGCTACAGAGACCTGGGGCAAAAAGGTCAGGCCAGGAAGATGTGTGATGCTGCTACTTCCATTCAAACCATTTCCAAAGAGGTGGGTACTGACTGTAGTGTCACTGGCTTATTCTTGTGCTCTAGTCTTAGTTTTCTCACATTTGTCATTGTTGTGGTTAAAAAATAGATTAATTTATTTATCTCTGTCTCTCTCTCTCTCTCTGTCTCTCTCTCTCTCTCTCTCTCTCTCTCTCTCTCTCTCTCCCCCCTTTCCCCATCTCACCCCAAGGATGAGGAGGCACAAAAGGAGCTGGACTCCCTTCTCTCTGCACTAGGTGTTAATTGAAGACATTGTGGAATGGCTCCATCCTCTTGCTAGGGAGAAACCCAGGATCCTCCTCACTGGAAGGAATCCATGTCTTCCTTGATTACTGTTGGGACGGTATTTTCTTAGTGCTAATGCTCTCTGGGATTGGAGATGACTGGATCCTCTGTAGCTCAATTGGTAGTGCATGGTGCTTGCAACGCCAGGGTAGATGGTTCGATCCCCGGGACCACCCATATGTATGCGCACATGACTGTAAGTCGCTTTGGATAAAAGCGTCTGCTAAATGGCATATTATTATTATTATTATAACAGTGTTCTGGAGAACAAACTTATCACAGACATATCATGATGTCTTATGAATGCATAGTGCTTTGACATCTGTTTGCTAAAGAGATTGTGGTAAAAGGGACAGTTGGACCTAAGTCAATCAATGGTGTTGGTCCCAATGGGATATATATTATCTACCACCTCACATCAATGCAATTTAGTGTAGGGGACCAGGCAATACTGTAGCAAGAAAATACATTTTATGAAGATTTTAATTATTATACTGATGTTGGTTTCAAAATGAGAATGATCACCTGTATCAACCCATACAGTAACCTACCTACATATCAATAATTATTCTTATTGCACTGATATAGCCTAGCCCAGGGATCATCAACTAGATTCAGCCGCGGGTCGATTCTTTTCTTGAGCGGATTGTTGTGGGGCCGAAACATAATTTCAAATCATTTGTAGACTGCAATTTGACCGCAAGAATCCCAAACAGATATAATATTTGACTAAAATAGAATAATTTCAAACCTTGCTTACATTTGTATACAATCACATGTATCTCTCTATTATGGTGGGAATACTTGGGAACAGATTTCCTAAATTAAAATACATTTCCTGGTGTTTTTACAGTCGTTTATGTCCAACAATGAAAATTAAGAAAAATAAAATAATGTATTTATTTATGCTCAGAAAACTTGGGGGGCCAAATAAAACCACATGCGGGCCAAATTCGGCCCGTGGGCCGCCAGTTGGGGAACCCTGGCCTAGCCTAAGAACTGCACACACAAGTGTGTTTTAAGGAGATTCTGACACTCAAGTTCCTCAACTATAAAGACCTGTCTGGTTTTGTGAAAGTGATCCAAAGGGCTTGTTGTTCCCTCCTGCCATGTCCTGTTTTGTTTTGTCTCTAGCAGTACATTACATTACATTTCAGTCATTTAGCAGACGCTCTTATCCAGAGCGACTTACAGGAGCAATTAGGGTTAAGTGCCTTGCTCAAGGGCACATCGACAGATTTTTCACCTAGTCGGCTTGGGGATTAGAACCATTTAAGTGGCAATATCAAAACCGTTTTAAACAAAGGTGCAACCCAAACACAGCTCTCTGTCGCACTGTGACTACCAAGTGACCTTTTGTCCCTTTTATGTGTTTTGAGATGAGATGTTATAGCCTAATAGTCCATGGGCAATGGGCATCATCAGAGATTTTATATCGTAGTCGCTAGATTTTACTGAATTTTGAATGCAGTTTTATTAATTCCCAATTTTTTGGTAAGAAAGCAAAAGGTGAGAGATCTTTACACTTTTTAGGATTTTGAATTTGTATGGTGTCTTTTTGGGATTACTGGGTAAGAAGCATGGGCTATAATAATCTGTGGTTCTTTAATATGTTCTCTTATGTATAATTTAGTCTTCTGGAGACCATTAACTGTTGCATACTTTATCCAACAGGTGAACTACAAGAATGTAAATGATCTTGTAAATTGTAAATGAAATACATTACGAAAATATTATATAGACACTACTGATCAATGGTATTTCAGTCTCTGCCATTAGTAAATAAATATGTGCAATCTTGATATGTGCCCCAAGTTTTGAGTATGTGCCTACTGTTTATGTGCATGCTTGTGTGAGTGTGAGAGATGATGATGATGCAATTCATGCACACACAACTATTTTTGCATGCAACACTTTATTTAAATGTAATGGGGACATTTTCATTCTATTATCAACCAAATATTTACCCTTCTCTCAGTCCAAATGCAATGGAATAGCAAGGTGTGTAAGCAAGTTCTGGCCTGACTCATAGCTAAAGTGTGGCATGTTTTTGTAAGCCCCCCCCCCCACTTCCCCTTTTTGTGCGGACTGTACAGTTTGTGCCAGAGCCATTTGGAATTTGTCAATGGATCATATTCAGGCCAACTTCCCTCCAGTCTGGTCATGTTTTAGGGTATTGCCATGGCACAGACTCACTCTAAATAGCTACCTCCCAAAGGAACACTATTCAGTATTCAGTATTATAACAACTCAAAAGGAATCCTGGGAAAGATGGTTTAGCCGTATGATTTGAACCAAATTAATGGAACTTGCCTCAACACAGCAAGGAACTACAGTATTCCATGTCAGTGGAAGTAATCCTGTTGCAACTTCTGACCAAATGCTTCCTAATTTTCATATTGGACTGAAAAGTTAATTTTCATGTGTCTAATCACAGTGTTGCATTCTGTGGCTGTTACCATATGTGGGTCAGAGAAGTGGCTATGATGCTATCTCTGACCATGATGTCTGTGCATGCTTGTCTTGAAGACGAGACTGCAGATGGAATAACAGACTGGGGACTGTTGTGGGTTGCGAAATGTTCAGGTGACACCTGGGACAGGGAGAAATTACAGAGCACACTGCCCTGACGAGGAGGTGCCGTTGGCCTGGAACTTGACTGGTTTGTGGGGGAAGTGACTGACCTTCCTTTGGTGCACCCACACTTTCCCTGAGAGCCTTGGGACAAACATCAGTGGCTGCATACCACGGTTGGGGTGAATTCAGGAAGAAAACTGATGTTTGTCCCAATCTGGGGTCTCGGTAGAACTCTACATAGAAGATCATACAGAATTATTGCATTGTGATTGTCCCTGATGTTTTCCTGAGGTTTCCTATATCTCTCAGATGCATTTTTGACACTTCCAACATTTACAGCCAGATCACAGACATGGGTTGGAAATGGTATGACTGTTTTGTGACAGTCATACCACATAGTGTCTATAATACTATAAACCTGTGTAGCTCAGTTGGTAGAGCATGACGTTTGCAACGCCAGGGTTGTGGGTTCGATTCCTACGGGGGCCAGTATGAAAAATGTATGCACTCACTAACTGTAAGTCGCTCTAGATCAAATTAAAAATGTAAAATAATACTGTAATAAACTCATAGTGGCTGTCACAAACTCTACAGTTGTCACTGACTAGTTCTATATTCATTTCCCATTGAGCCAACATTTCCTGTACTAACACCATTCTTATAAATGCATTTTATATCAGGATTTTGTTTAGTGGACCTCATTTTTGTATTAACATTAGTCAATAAAACAAATGAATGCAACTTTTTATGTCATTGTTTTTCATTAATAAAATGGTAAAACACTTAAATGTGAGGCTAAATATGGGGGCTATACAATCAGATAAATGAAATGCTCATCAGTCCCAAAGGAATGAATATAGAATAAATCTGTAATTCATTTTGTCGTTTTTCCCGAGGAGGTTTTAGTTGCGGAATTTTACATCTAGCTAAGGTGTTTGGTGCAGTATTTCTCAAGTCAAAAAATGTGCAACTTATTGTCTTATGTAAAGATCCGCTATGCTGCTGGACAGGTCTGTTTCACTGTCTGTGTTCTGCATAGCATACACCGGATAGGCGCAGTGAAATGTGTTGTTTTACAGGGTCAGCCATAGTAGTAAAGCGCCGCTGGAGCAAATTAGGGTTAAGTGCCTTGTTCAAGGACACCAACAGATTTTTCACCTTGACGGCTCGGGTATTCGAACCACGCCTAACGCCCTAACCGCTAGGCTACCTGACGTCCACCAATCACCCCAGCTGTGTATCCCATGTAGTGGGCAAGTGAACATTATCGAAATCAAAGTCATGACGAACTCACTTTAAAAACTCAGTTTTGGACGAGACTGACTTTATGACCAAAATTATCCTATTTACACTTGGTAGTCAATTTTGACATTAGAATACATGTTTCTGGCTAATATCGATGCCACATAGGCCGATTAATATCAGATAAATTGTTTATTGGCTTCAGTTGCGATTAAGGGTTATTAACATCTGACCAACATAGGGTAGCTACAGTGACTCGGTAGTAATGTAATGTAGCACCATTGGAAAATGATCTCATTTTCCCTTCTGATATCCTAACTGGAAATGTTCTTTACGGTAGTTGAAAGTGTAACGACCCTGGGTTTATAAACGCAGATATCGACACTGCTATTGGAGCATGCATTTGGTGCACAGTCGATGGCGCGCTGGACTTCGGGCTAGAAGGTTGAGGGTTCGAGACCTGCTCCCTGCCGGTTTCATTACAGTGTGGTTTACTGGCAAACTACTGCTAATGTGCACATTGCTGGGCTGTGGGAGGTTGAAAGCTATATCCTACTTATGACGAACTGTCATTAAAAAAATATTGGCCCATCACAGACTTGACTGTGAGTCTTTTTGGTTACTGGAAAATTGGATGTAATGAGTCACATAACCAAACTGTCATCTGTCACGCTATCAATAATTAGGTCATCTTCCTTACCATATAGCAGGGAGGCAATCATCCTGCCTTTTTACTCATAAGCAGTGGTGGAAAAAGTACCCAATTGTCATACTTGAGTAAAAGTAAAGATACCTTAATATAAAATTATTCAAGTAAAAGTGAAAGTAACCCAGTAAAATCCTACTTGAGTAAAAGTCTACAATTATTTGGTTTTAAATATTCTTAAGTATCAAAAGTAAATGTAATTGCTAAAATATACTTACGTACCAACAGTAAAAGTATAAATCATTTTTAAGTCCTCATATTAAGCAACCCAGATGGCACCTTTTTCTTGTTTTTATTTATTTACGGATAGCCAGGGGCACACTCCAACACTCATTTACAAAAGAAGCATGTGTGAAGGCTAGCAGGAAAGTGAGTCCGCCAGATCAGAGGCAGTAGGGATGACCAGGGACGTTCTCTTGATAAGTGTGTGAATTGGA